TTTTGAAGTCTTGTAGCCTTCAAATTATTGAGTATTGTATTAGAGTCTTCAAAATCTTTATAAATTATTATTGAGTGATTGTGGACCACTGAAATTTTCTTTTTTCTTTTTTAACTAAGAGAAGAAAAACGAYTGAATAATTCGTGATAGCTCTCAATGATTCATTGTTGAGGTGACATACTCTTGTAATAGAGTATTGTATGTGACTATCTTCTTGCGCGGATCTAAGTTCGCATGAGTTTCAGTCTAATTGTCAATTAGAATGTCAGTGAACGATTTTAAGAAAAATACGTGACCTTATTTGTTTTGCTAAATTGTAAAATTAACCGTATATAAATTTGTCATTTACTTAAAACAATGGCATGATAATTGACGCATGTGGCATGACATTACAAACAAATGAAAAATGAACAAAATAAAATGTGCAATTTGATAAAAAAAATTATGCCTTCTGAATAAAAGGAACGAGAAAAAAAAAACAAATTAACAGTGATTAGTTACTTCGAGAAGGTTAATCATGGCTAGTTATTCCCGGCAAATTGACTAAAATTTATCTAAATAACAATTTTTTTACGACAAAACATATTTTTTGTCATTGAGTTTGAGGTAGGTGTCTAGGATCCTGAAGTTTTAAAATGAACACTTTTGGTTCTTCAAATTTGAGGTAGGTGTCTAATTGGTTCCTGAAGTTTCAAAATGAACATTTTTTGTCCTTAGGTTTAAAGCAGGTGTCAACTTGGTCCGAAAGTTGTAAAATGAACACTTTTGATCCATGACGTTTGAGAAATAGTTTTAAATGGTCACTCCATGTGTTCAATGTGGCACACCCATGTCACCGTTGCGCCCATCTCCCTAACACTTGCGTGCCCAACGTGGCACACATATGCCACCGTCACAATCGCATAGCTCTTCTCCACTCCGAGGGAGCGTGGCCTCCACCGTCGTACAATCCTTCTTTGTGGAAAGGGAGTGCGGGCCATGCGACCAAGTCACCCCGTCTCAATGTAAGGGAGTGCGATTGTTGATAACTCTCCAAAAGAGAGTTATTCTAGTGTTTATTTGGGTGTTTTTATGCAAGGAATTGTCAAAGTGTGTCGATGTTAGCTTTTAAATAGCTTAAATAAGATTAGAAAATAGAATCCGAGCTAAAAGTCTCAGGTCTTGAATGCTTTGACTAAATATTGCACTAAATGCTCTTATTTCTGGGGTAAATGTACAGGTTTGGAAGCAGAATACTAAACATAAAGAGAGTGAATTTTCAGAGAAGAGCAAGCAAAGCATTTTCAAGACAGGGCAGATGAAAGCTGGAGCGGAACAGAGCTGGTGCATAGGTTCACTGCGCAATAACAGCCCATACACAAGATTTTTCGTGTCCATACAAACTTCAGCTAGGTGCCCTAAAAACAGACCCGATATAAAAGGAATATTTAACCCTAGCCACCACACACAAATCCCAATAGAAGCACATTTTTTAGAGCTGAAACGACTAGGATGAGGATTATCTCCATTTTCGAGGGCAGAAAGCTGACGACATATATCGAGCTGTCATCTTCTTCTTATTCGGTTTTTCTGSTATTTCCTTGGGATGAGTTGTCTTCTTCCTTTATCCACTGTATTTTCTTTTTTATCAATGAGCTAAACCCCATTTCAGAGGAGATTCATATGTTGCAACCGATGAATGACCAACCCTTTAGCTACTCCATTTGTTTTTAAATGAAGCTGTGTTTATTTCTTATATCTTATTGAACATTGTTGGCCGCTTTGTTTTGTTTGCTAGCTTATGTATTGACTCGGGAGGGTTTATAGTTTGCCGACTTGTTTCATTTGTGATTAGTACTTTTCTATAGTATCTGTGGATGCTCAATAATGGTGTCCTATATTCATGCCTAGAAGTTGTTTTTATTGCTTGGAAACTTAGCAACGAGAGTTGTGGGTTTTCATGTTCGGGTGTTTTGGGAGGGAACAAAGTGGAGTTGGGCATTAACGAATGTTTGTAAGCTAGAGGGTAGGTTGAGAAATCTGTGAATGCATGTTGAATCTCCCCTACTTTTCCATATCTGTCAACTCCCAATTTCATATTATGTGTTGTTTCTTCTTCATGTTATCAGCTCTACGAAGTGTGTCTGCTATTGAGATTTTTACTGCTTTGTTTATTTTATTTGTTTAGTTACGATACAACATCCATATTTCTTTGTTCTTAAACTTTTGGTATCTGGGAACATCGTTTAGAATATAATCCAAAGTCCATGTGGATTCAACCTCGTTTGGTACTATAATCGGTAGTTTCATGTATGCTTGCACGTGTTATCAGCATGGTTGTATGGACGCAACAATTGTCGTGACCGTGCAACCCTTCTTTGTGCCAACGTGTGTCCCTCGCAACCGCACTATCCCTTCTCAATGTAAGGTAGCACAACTCATACGACCACGCCGTCCCTTCTCCCTTCTCCACGCTAAGGGAAAGCATCTCCCATGGGCACGCCCCTTTGCAGCCACTGTAGCCCAACCGCCACTCTAATTACTTGGAGGGAAAGAAATCCTCTCACTCACAAGCTTGTAAATATAAGGGTCCCAATCCATTTGAGGTACAATGGTACAACTCACTACACCTATATACAATTCTTTCTCTTTCTTTTTATACATTCTTACACTAATTTAAGCATCGGAGTCTATGCAAGTTACCGACATTTAGCTCACCCTTTCTTTGTGCATATCATTTTTTTATTAAATCATATGAGTCAAGATCTTGTCTTTCTCCTATTCACAAATCCGTGTGGTCAAATTTGAACCACTCAAGTCAACCAACCTCGTCAAATTACGTGTTAACACAATGTATAATTATAATTCAAAATTTATGTACCTATTCAAAATACAAATTGTTCAAGTGTTTATAGATAATTAACTTTCCCCCCTAACTTTGTAGTGTTTTGTTAAATTTTTAATGAGTGCGTTAAATAAACCAACAATATTTTCCTTTTAATTTTGATAAAATAATAGTTTTGATAATTTCTAAAAACAAATAATCAACTGCTTTTATATTTTAATTTGTCTTATTTGGAGAGTTTTTCACCCACTCCAAAGAATGAAAGTCTTTTTTATTTTGTGGTAAAAATTGGTACTGTTTTGTTATATGTTTTTAACAGTGGTAAATTTTTATTTTATGGTAAAGAAGAGTTCGAAAAAGTTCAAAGACAAATAAAAAAACACTATAAATGTGCTTATAGAGAAAAACATTTGATTAGGTTTATTTCCAAAGTGTTAACATAAAAAATAAATCATTTTCTCTTTCTCAAAATATATCGAACATATTACAAATAAACACGATCCCAAAACCATCAAAGTTAAGGACGAACATTGATTTGTAAACTTTTTTTTTAAGTCTTATTTCAGTCTAAATGTTTTCAGCGTTTTGGTTTATTTGGTATATATACTTTAAAAACATTCATTTACAGCTAACTCGAACATAGTTCAATTGGTTAAGACATATATCACCAATTAAAAAGAAAATCAAAAGTTCGAATTTGCATCCAATGTTGTTGACCTAAAAGAACGTCTATTTTAGTATCTATACTTTCAACTATAACATCTGTTTTGTTACAATGACCAATATATTGAAAAGGTAAAAGTACCTCTATGAAATACAGGTTTTAAAATGACAGGCATCAAAATTGACAAACTTGAAATTAAAATACCAAAATCAATGGTTCTGACTTGAAAAAAGTTATATTTTTCAAATTCCAACCAAGAAAAAAAAACATAGACAAAATAGTTATCAATAAAGAGAGACTTTGCTCGTTTGGGGGAAAGAAAAAACAAAGACTTTTCACTTTGAAAATGTATTTATCAAAATTATACTGAATAAATTAGGCACGAGAGAACCGATTCAAACCTTGAAGTGAATAAGGCATCTTAAAAAAATCTGAAAGATATATGATTTTCTCTCTCGTCTTGCCGTTGAAAAGAAAAAAAATCGTCAAAATGAACACAATTCAGTGGTATACCTCAAATTAAGAGGTTGTAACTTCGATTTTCCACCCAACATGTTATACTAAAAGAATGTACTAACAAAAAAATTATCAATGAGAGGCATGACTTTCCATTTTGATGATCTATTTTTGCAAAATTCTATCGAATAAACTGTACGTGAGAGAAAACCAACTAAAACCTAGCTCAAGTGAACAAAACATTTAGGCCCCTTTTATTTCAATGGTATGGTAAGCAATGGATGTGAATCAAAATCTTCCTTCATTTGATGATGTTTATTAAATTGTAGTAATGAAATCAAATTATCAAATCGAGCCTAGTTTAATTGGCAATCTATTATTTCTCTTATATGTATGTTACTAATAATTTTTCTTATAATAAAAATTTGTACCACTTTTAATGGTTGACGTGATTTTATTGTAAAATATTATAAAATTCTCTCTATATATATTTCAACTATACTTGGTTACTATTAATTAACATAAATAAAGTTTATTATTATTAAATAATATATAACAATAAAACTTAATATTAAATGACATTTGTTATAATAAAAGACTGTTTTAATTATTTATTATTCGTTAATAAGAAGTATTTACAATCAATGTAATAGAATAAATTAAAATTTATAATTATTTAATTAAAAAACATTAATATACTATTTGTAACTCACTAGAGATAAATAAAGGGCATAATAGTACAGTAATATATCTAATTTATAATTTAATTTCAGATATTTTTAGTAAACGGCGTCAAAATATTTATGATTTGAATTTCGATTTCAAAAAATTTAGGGTAAATAGCATTTCAATCCCATCCGATATTTATCTTCTACCGCACGATTAAAAGAAAATAGCGTGAGAAAATCAAATTAATTCGACAAGAAAACAAAAATGGAAAGTAAAAATGCCACGCGCCAAAATCCCACTCGTCGTCTCCGAGCAAGAGTAGGGGAAAAAAGGCGAGAAATGTGGGCTTATTAGGAAATCAAATAAGTTTTTTCAGACGGCGAACAACAGAAACCCAGACGGGGGAAGCCGGAATAATATAAGAACTTGAAAAACTACTAAAAACCCACAAAATCCAAACCCCACTTTTCTCTCCTATTATACGATCATAGATTTTTTTCCCCGCGCAGTAGTGGGAATTTTCTGCAGTTCGAGCTTCTTCAAAAATCCAGCCGATTTTTCTGTTTGGTTTAATCGGTTTTGGGGGTTTTTGGAGATTCCTTGAACATCGACAGTACGATCGCTTCGGCCGATCGTCCAGTTTCAAGGGGAAGACGATACTGATTCTGCTTCTCCGAAGAAGAAGAATAAGGGTTTGTTTGTGTTCTGGTTTCTGGTGCGAGCGAAGTGGTTCGCTGAATCTGGTTTATGGGTTTTGTTTCTTGTTTCTGATTGGAATGATGCTGGATTTTAGGGAAGATGATGATTGGAAGTAGGGTTTTGGGTTTCCCTTTTAGGGCTGGCTCTGAGAAGCCAATAATGGAGGAAGCCGAAGCTTGCTATTACAAAGAGAATGGCGATGATGTTGACCCTGACATTACTCTCTCTTACATTGTAAGGGCATTTTCCTTGAGTTACAATTTGTTTGCCCCAATGTGCCTTGTTTCTTGATTGACCCAGTGAAACAAAAACCATTCTGAACTAAATTACTTCAAATTTGGTGATTTCTTCTGTTACTTTTTTAATCCAAAAAGATTAACTTTTTTGCTTTTTGGTTCTGGTTTATAACCATTACAGTAGAGTTTCATCGAGGGGGAAAAACATGGGAACAAAGTAAAATTGACCTTATGGATACTGTAAAATTTGGGAAGAAAAGGAAATGTTGGAGGCTGGGTAAAATTGTTTGGTTCCATGAAGTTGAGTTGTTGGTCAGTTGAAATCAAATGAGATGGAACTTGAAAGTGTATAAAATCATGAGTTTTGTTTGCTTGGAAAGAATCCATTCGTGATCAGTTGAAATTAAATGAGATGGAACTCAAGAGTGTGTAAAATTTTGAGTTTTGTTTGCTAAAGGAATCAAATAAATAATTTCTCTGGGATATAATTGGCTTGGACTATACAGTTATCCCCCTGAAAAAAAGTTACTCAATTTGTTTACTACTTGTAATTATTCATAATTTCATGCTCATGTGAAGTAACTAGACTTCCCATTATTGTACTTTTTAGGACGAGAGGATTCAATGTCTTCTTGGTCATTTTCAAAAGGACTTCGAAGGTGGATTTTCAGCTGACAACTTAGGTGAGTTGCCAAGTTTTCGGATTCATAGCCACAAAATGATAGGTTGACATGGTTCTAAATTCTAATTGTTATTTTAGGGTCGAAGTTTGGTGGTTATGGCTCATTTCTGCCTACATATGAACGCCTTCCTTCCATTCGACCACATACGATAAAGCAACAAAGCCACTGCAATGCAGTGCCATCACCAGATAATGTGCCCTTGGAGGTATATGAAAACTTGTCCTATTATTTTGCCCATTATGTGTGAAAAAAAAAATTTAATGGGATAACACATTCTTATATCCAAACGAATAACTAATCCCGAATGCTTTATGTAATATGACCATAAATTTGCAGGGTTCTTTTCAAAATTTAAAAGCTCCACCACCTGAGAGGCCAGAAGCTATTTCCTCTCGCAATTCAAGAGAAACTTCTGGTAGTATCGCTGGGAGACTAGACTCGTGCTTGCCATCTACTGAAGTTACTAATAGTAATAGTTACCCTCCGAAACATGAAACTTTAAGCATATTAGGCAATCCGACGAATAACAGAACACTTAAAGTTCGAATTAAAGTTGGTTCTGACAATAATGCATTGAAAAATGCAGCAATATACAGTGGCCTTGGACTTGACGACTCTCCAATGTCATCATCAGAGAACAGCTCTGATGTAAGTGAAGGGATGCTGCCGATATCTCAAAGCCTCGCGGATGAGTTTCCAGCTAAGATAATTGAGGTGACAGTTCTTCTGATTTTCTGATTTTTTAGAAGTTCAAAATGGATCTATATGCTTACACTATAGTGTTTCTTCTTTAAACAGGAAATGACCTCTTTTGCAGTGCCTCACGGAGTATTGATATCACCTCTTCATGATAGCCTACTTTCCTTGCCAAGCAAGGAAAAACCTTTCCAAGAAACCAAACCCATGATTTCCCTTGAGGATCAAAAAGATGTTTTGGCCAAGATAGTCGGTGAGAAAACTTCAATGCAAAAAGAAAGAAACTTGGTTAAGAAGACGAGAAAGGAGGTCGGGCACAGAGAAAGGCAGGCCAATTTAAAGAACGAAGTTCATGCTTGTCTTGGCGAGGAGAAGACTACTATAATACATGGAAAATCAGATAGTGAGGCTCTTGAAGGCAAAGATTTCCCTCCTAATGAGTTGCAATGCAGACCTGTTTCCGACTCGAACCATGGCTTGCGTAATTTGAAGCTGTCTTGTAGTGCATCTGATGTTTCAATTTGCAAGAAAGAGGATAGATTAGAAGGCAGATTTAAGGAGTCGAATTTGGAGACAACATCCGGACAAGATTGTTTGAAGAGTGGTAGTAAGCTGAGAATTAAGGCTGGAAAGGCTTTGGAACAAAAGAAGACTGTCAAAATCTCTGCCTCGTTGGAAGTTCCCTCATCATTGGAAGATCAATCTGAGGGAACTATGTGCAATGCTTACTTAAAGCCACAAAATAAGAATCTTTCTCGTAAAGCTACATTACATGAAACAGATAACGACAAAGTATCTATTAAGATAGAAAAGTCTGGAACTATTGGCAAGAATAAATTGATAGTGCTACAGAATGTTTGTGGGAAAACAGCTAGTTCATTTGAGGAAGGCATCAAGATTGGAAGTGGAGCACCAAAAGGTAGAAAAGACACTGATTCTGATACTCCTGATTTTGAAAATAAAAGGCACAGGTTCAAACTACATAGCGATGAGAAAGTAGGAGCAAACAATAGGGTTGTAATTGAGAGGGCTTCAGGTGACTTGCGAAAGGTCAGAGGCCTGGATGACAGTGGAACCGAAAAGTTCAAGTATCGGAATGAAACAAAGGAAAGACAGAAGGGTAGCAGAATGGATGTTCATTTGTGTGGAGCATCTGTTAAAGATGGTCAAGGTGCTCGTCCTCTTGTCATCGACAATGACCCAGGTTCGAAGATGGTTGAACCATCAGTGGTGGTTCCTGTACACGTACAACATTGGGTATGCTGCGACAGTTGTCAGAAGTGGCGCCTTCTGCCCTTTGAATCAAAGCCAGAACAACTTCCTGAAAAATGGCTGTGTAGGATGCTCGATTGGCTGTAAGTTCGCCACTTATTCTTTGACAAGAAATAATAAGTTTTTTTTAAGATAAAATAATAGGTTAAGTTGATGATGGTTTTTTCTTTAAAAAAATTTGATTGGAATTTGATCAATGTTATTATATTATGCTTTTTAATTCCTTGAATTTCTTATTTGAGTGTTTTGCATAATGTTATCTTGCCTGTTCACTTTCTGTTGCAATCGTGTAGGCCTGGTATGAACAGGTGTGACATTGAGCAAGATGAGACAACGAGGATGTTCTATGCCTTGTACAAGCTGCCAATGCCTGAGAGTGGAGATGCTATACAGATCCATGCCAATGAACCAGCATCAGGTGATGCTATAAATCAGGGAAAAAGGAAAGAAACTTTGAAGGTAACACAAAATCCAGTTAGCAGTATTGGTCAGACACATGTCAAAAGTTCTCAGAAAAACCAGCAGCAGGAGTCCAGGAAAAGAAAAAGTCTTAATGGCTTGAGTAATCCTCAAAATCAGTTGAGAAGTTCAATAGATCAATCTTCTAGTGAACTGCACAACATGGCAGAGGGAAATAACAGGGATAAACTGAAAGAAAAATCCATTGATAGAGGTGAGTTGTTCATGAGAATTAGAATATTCAATCTTGTCTAGTAGGTACATCTGTTTGTGGATCTTCTTTTAAGTCTTCCTCTTCTACTGCAGTTAATTGTGAGCAATCAAAAAGAAAAAACAAGAAACCTGAAGAAAATCGTCTTCATTTTGAAGCTGTTAAGCACTCCAAGATGGAAGACATGTGCTCTGTTGATAATCGTCAAGACTTCAATGTGGACATTGGAAAATTGGGTTCTAGTTCAAATTCTGGATTGACAAATATGGAAGGTGGGGAAGGTATGCTGAAGCATGGCGACATTGGTTTGACGAAGCACGACAAATTCAAAACAGTGAATAAAAGGCAAATTTCATCGAAGAAACAGGGAAAACCAGCTGAAATCTCCTCTGTTGATCAAGTAAGTGGTAAAAGTGACGGTTGCACGAAGAAAAGGAAACTGAAGGATTGGCAGGATGATCAAAACTCTCATAATAGCGCACTACATGTGAAGGAAGAAAATTGTGAAGGACTGAAGAAAAAAAGAAAGTTCCATGTGTCGAATGATACCCATAAACGTAAAGGTGATTTTAACTCAAAGAGAGAAGGGGGAACTACACAGTTTTCTGCATCAGGTAGTGGGAATGATTTCACTAATGGTGTGGAAGAAATCAGCAAGGATAAGGGACTGAAAATGCAAAAGAAGATTATTTATAAACAAACATCAGTTGGTCAGGAGTCATTGAAGAGAAATTTAGGTGCTCGACAAGTTTCACATCTACCTAAAACCAAATTTGGAGTAAAAGTTTCTACTGCTGAATCGGTTTCATCATCTCCCATGAGGACATCCAGCCTTGATCTATTTGGAGGGGAAAAAGAGGATATTACCTCTAATATTCACTCCGACACCAGAAGCAAGAAAATCAAACCTTCACCTGGAGTTCAACACCATTTTGTCACTGCTGATGCTAATGCTTTTCAGCAACCTAGATTGTGCAATAATCATATAGATGACAGCATGGAACCCAGCCACAAGAAACTCAAGAAAGTATTCCCTAATAAGGAGCTTTCCACAGAGAATAAGGATCTCTTTCTGACTTCCAATGAGAAAGACAAAAGTGTCTTGTCTGATGTAGAATTAGACAAGGCAAAGGCTTCTGATGGAATTTCCAAGCATTCAAAGAAGAGCATGATACGCGAGCCAGAGGTTGATTCCTACCATGTTTCACCTTGTCCGGATGGGGTGGGTGAAATTGAACAAAATATTCCTAGAAAGCGCGGTACTAAGTTGACTAGAAAAGAGAAGATTCATGTTGGCGCTGAAGGATTCGAAACCCCTCACAATATCAAGGGCCATGATGTTGAAGACCAGAGACCAGGTACTGTAATTCAATCAAATAGAGCAGTTATAATTCAGAATAAAAGTGGTCTGAGAACTGTAGAAACGAAGGATGGAAAATCAAAATGCTCCTTGTCCTCAGGAGATGAATCCAAAGGAGAAACATTGCATCTTGGTGGTGACCCTCAACAAGTTTCTCTTATGGCGGGCGATTCTCATCAGCTTATTGTTGTTGCCCCTAAAAGCGATGATGCAGTAGAGTCGAAGACATTAAAAAACTTAGGGAATGCTGCTAACAAGAATGGAATTAGCCTTAGATATCAAACACCTGATCAACAGGGATCTAGAGAAGTTAATGCTTCAAATCCTGACAGAAAAAAATCCTCCAATCAGACTGCTTGTAATGTATTGGAAGAAACCAAATGTCTTAGAGACCATGCGGATCGCCTCAAGGTTTCCTCATTTCTGCAACTCTCTTTGAACATGGTTGCTAAGATTGGACCTGTTTGTAATCCTTACTCGTATTATTTTCTTATGTATTCTATAGCGTTACGGATACAGTTTTGAAAGTAATGAGGCTTTCTTCCAATCTGCTCTGGAGTATCTTCATGGGGCATTCCTTCTAGAGACTCATAGTAATGCAAGTGGCAAGAATGGGGATTTGACTCACATGCAGGTCTATGGTATTACAGCTGAACTGTGCAAGTAAGTGAAAATGACAGTTACGTCCCGTTTTTGTCTGTTTAAGTATTTTAATCCAACAATTGATAGTTTGTGTTCATCATCAACCATCACTTCCAATCAGCATAGTTCTTAAATTCATTCCGAAATTAATGTAATAAACTTGACTTCTACCATGGATATTTAATCATTGTGGCCTGTTGTTTTTAACTCTGCCTTTCCAATGAGCCAGCTCTAGCTCATGTTTCTTTTGTGGTCCGTGTTCTTACAACCTGTTGTTTTTTGTTAATGAAATATTGTTTTATATCCGAAATGGAAGCCTGCCGCCTACTTCAGGATAGAGTATGAACATAAATTTAGGCTATTTAGTATATCGAGGATAGCGTTCGTCATTCCTGAGTTCTGCATTGAAATCTTTACAATGTTCTCTTCTTTGATGTCTTTTGTTTCTATTTTAAAATGTTCAAGAATGTTTCACGTTGATTGATAATTGGTACCTTATTATAAACTCTCAATCATTCACAGGATCTGTGCCCATGAATACGAAAGACGTCAGGAAATGGCTGCAGCAGCTTTGGCTTATAAATGTATTGAAGTAGCATACATGAGAATAGTTTACCATAAACATACAAGTATCAATGGAGATCGCAACGAGATGCACCCATCGTTTCGTACAATTGTTCAAGGTAATAGAAAAATGTTATGTCATCGTCTTATTTTGGTAAACTGGGGGCTCAAAATTTTGCATCTTGGAAATATGCTCTCTCTCTCACTCATCATTCCAATTAATTAACATTGTGATGCTCTTTCAATGAATCCTTAGGTGAATCTCCATCTTCTTCTGCATCAGATGTTGATAACTTGAACAATCAAGCAGCAATGGATAAGGATACTATTGACAAAGTTGGTGGTTCCCATGTTGCTGGAAATCACATCGCAAATGCTGGAAGCTGCACGAGTTTTCTTTGGCTGCTCGACTCCGTAAGTACTCATTTTTTTCCCAATTCAAATAATTTGTTATCAGAATCTTAGCCTGCTGTTCTTTGTGGAACTGATGGTTCCTTTTATGGCTATTTCTTTTTACAAATATAAATTTTGAAAGCAAACATCTGGATCATTTCGTGTTGCAGACACGCGATATTAATTTAGCCATGGAGGCCGTGAAAAAATCTCGAAATGCATTTGCGGCAGCTGGTTCACATGTTAGTGATGCAAAGAATGTGACTCATCTTGCATCGGTTAAAAAGGCAATTGATTTCAGCTTCCAAGATGTGGAGGAACTCATACAGTTGGTTCGGGTTGCTTTGAAGACGATAACTCACTCGGTTTCTGGCAGTGGTAGAGATTAGGTCAACCATGTAAATAGTTATTTTTCTTGGATTATTCTTCCAAGGGGGTGATCAGTTGAGAAAGCTGAGGAAACTTGACTGCAACCCTAAACTGGTTTTGGTAGCTTTTAGGATGTCGACCGTTGCAGAATCGACTTACACAGTTCGCTTCTTACCGATAGTTCTGTACAAAAGTGAGATCGATTAGGAAATTCAAAATGTGTATTTTTAAGTTATTGAGCTGAGGATTTTTTTTTTTTTTTTTTTTGGTCCTTTTGTTTTCCTTCACCCTCTTGAAGGTCATGTAAAGGCTTCGTGATATCTTAGCTCCTAAAAGTGGAGCTCAAGTAAAAAAAAAGAGAAAAAAAGAAAAGAAAAAGAAGTTGCATTTCATTAGGCAACCATATTGAAGTGTTCAAATAATAATGTAGTGAGTGATGGCTAAAAATCCTCTCTTTTTCTCTCTCCTTCTGCCTCTGTTCATTAAACAGCTGAAGATAGAATTCCGTGTTGGGTTTGTTCATATAGGTTCTATGGTTATGAGAATTGAATTTTGGCGAAGTGAAACGCTTGTGTCTTTTTTGGTTAAAAAATACATTTGGTCGTAATAAAAAAATATATTTATTCATCAAATTTTAGTTTGTAACAATCTAGTTAATTACTTTTAAGTTCGTCACAATTTAGTTTTTACGTAATACTTTAGTTCTTCTAGTTTAGAATTTGTAATAATTTAATTATTGTTGTGAAAATTCTCATCAACCTATAAATAAAAAATCTAATTAAATTTTAACAATATTTTTTCTAGTTCTTTATGAACTTTAATTTCCAAGGACTAAATTAGTAAATTGTTATCAATATTAGTTCATAGGCTAAATTAAATGAATGTAGGACCAAATGTTTTTTTATTATTTTATTTTTTTAAACCAAGCTTTGAGAAATGAGAACATATACAAGGGCAATTTTACAATTTGCGTAAGTTCGTGAAGATCTTGCTTCAAAGTTTAGAGATCTACTCGTATCTAAGTTCAAGGATTAAACTCGTTAACCTTTCAAAGTTCTGTAGTGGAGTTTGTTTGTTTCCAAACCAATTAACAAGAACATAACTCAATTGGTCAAGGCACTTCCTTTAAAGGTTGGGATTCGCATCTCTGCTCGTGGAATAAAACAAAACAAGTAAACTGTGTTTAAACGAAATTACCAGAAATCATTGCAAGTGCAACAACCACCTGTGAAATGATGAAATCTGTTGACATCTCTAACTACAAAGTCCCTCTCCACAATCTCACTTATAAGCTTGAAAGCCTCATGACAGTCACTGCACATTCTCAAGTTCTTCATTATTCTTATGGTGATTCCTTTGGGTATGCTAATCAAACCAAATCCCAATGCCAATCTCTCGCTATGCAATCCAACTGCTTCTTCCTCTGCCTCCTCCTCTACATCAACAAATACCAAACCTTTGCTTCCTCTTCCATAACCTCGATCCTTCATTTTCCGCTCCAACTCTCGCAGTAAACACAACACCTCCTTGCTGTGTGGGCAAGACTCTACGTCCCCAGCATAGAATACATAAGTCAAATTCTTTATCTCGAGCCAACTACAGCCTGGTTCCTTATTGATTCCAGTATGCTTCATTTCAACTCGGAGTCGGTGAGCCTTCTCCATATCCCCAGCCGATGCATAGGCGTTCGACAATGTGACGTATGCACCTGCAACTTGTTGATTGGAATTGACTAGTCGCTGACAGGCTTCAACTGCAATATCTACCCTCCCATGGTACCTACTAGCCGAAAGCAGCGCTCCCCACAATAATGCCTCGTCGTCGGGCTCTACCTCCATCGATTTCGCTAGTTGGTAAGCTCTATCGAGCTGCCCAACTCGAGCTAGCATGTCGACAACACACGTATAATGCTTAGACTCGGGCATTATGCCATGTCTCTCATACATGGAAGTCAAATAACTAAGGCCCTCATCAAGAAGCCCTGAATGGCTACAAGCATACAAAACTCCAACAAAAGTGACATGGTTAGGCTTCAATCCTTTTCTCACCATTTCTTCAAATAGTTGAAGGGACTGTCTCCCAAGTCCATATTTTGCTCTACTCACAATCATAGAAGTATAGGGAATAACAGAGGGGTTTAAAATTCTACTAAAGACCTTATCAGAACAATTAAGACTCCCACATTTAGCATACATATCGACCAACACACTAGAAATTACATCGTTCGAATCATGGCCGAGACGGATCACCGCACCGTGCACGACTCTTCCCAAAACCAGCCTACCCAAGCTTGCACAAGCACTGATTGCACTAGCTAACATGAAATGATTTGGATGTTCATAATTCAAACTACTGAATTCCCTAAATAGTTTCAAGGCATCATCACCATGTGCATTCTGAGCATAAGTAGCAATCATGGAAGTCCAAGAAACAATGTTCTTACAAGCCATAGAATCGAAGACTCTCCGAGCTCGAACAACATCATTGCACTTACCATACATATCGATAAGCGAAGAACACACCACAACATTACCTCCATAGCCAGAAATCTCAACATATGCGTGGAACTTTTTGCCCTCTCTCAAATTTGAGAGGATCGAACAGGCCTTAATCGCGGTCGCGAAAGTGAAGTCGTTCGGCACGACCGGACTTCTCGACATCTCCCCGAATAGTGAGAGAGCGGTACTCGGCTGGCAAGCGTCGATGTAACCGGCCATGAGAGAGGTCCATGAGACGACATTTGGGGTGGGCATTTCATCGAACAGGTGGTGTGCGATTGAAACTCTGCGCAATCTGACATAGCAATTGATGAGATGGTTGACGGGGAGAGTTTGGGTTAAGAATCCAAGCTTTAGAGCTATGGGGTGGGCGGAGGTTGCAGAAATCAAATCGTTGCAATTTCGAAGGTGGCGACTGAAATTTGCGATCGTTTGAAAAGATAACCGTTCGTTTTCGCGGGAAAGACGAGGCCTTGTGAGGGCAAAATGGATATTTGGTTTCAACATCAACAGAATTCTCGGAGGAGTTGCCTTTTGAACGATTTGAAATTGAAACTAATATTTTTGTTTCGGAATCAAAGAATTAATTATGTTTTTAATCATAGAATGAAATTAAATGGTGGTACTAATAATTTCATTCCTCTCCTGCAATTTAATGAATTTCCAAAATTTGGAATGACTGTTCTAATAATTTCATTCCTCTCTTACAATTTAATTAATCTTATTTTTCATTCTTTGTTTACTACCTCCCATGTTTTTTCAATAATTACTTTACAATTTCTGCATTTTTTTAGATCTATAATTTTTTATTAATTATTTTATCATTTTACTTTTTTATTTATATTACTAAATATATTTCTTCTAATAAAAAAAATTATATAACTTTTCTTAGCTAGTGTGATTTTATTATAAAATTCTTATAAATTTTTATTTAATTTATCAATTTAATTTTACTTTGTTATGGTTAACAAGATACGACTTATTTATCGGTCTGAACAAGATACGACTTATAAATGTGATATTCCGTATATTGTAGAGTTCTTTACCTTATCAATTCAATTTTTAATTCTGGGTCATTGAGATTCATGGACAATACGGATTAATATTTCAAGGATAGATATTACCCCTCCTTTTCCTAGTTCAACTATATTGAAATATATTCGAGATCTGTCATGAGTGATCAAAGACAGTAGTATATATAGTCGTTCTCTAATACAATAACTTACAAACCAACATGAGTTTAGCTCAGCAATAATTAATATATGTTTCTAATCAAGATCATGATCGATTCATGCCGTTTGATGCTCCCCAACTTAAAATTTAAAATTTAAATACTATTTTGATCCTGTACTCTCCACCTTGGTTCATCTTGGTACTTATACCTTCAAAATGTTCATTTTAATCTATATTATGAAATGTATCAAACTTGAAAGTATGACCCACTAAATTTCATTCAAGTTGTCGTCAAACTTTGCATTTTTTTCCCCTAAAGGTAGAATATTTAGTCTTTCAGAAAAACAGACGGTAAAGTAGTAAATAAAAATTTTGTTTAAGAAACTAAAATATAAATTTTTATCTCAAACTTATTATCTTTTCAATATATTCCCAATACTCCTCCATTTATCTGGTCCATCAATCTATACTACATACTTATTTTAGAAAATATTTAAAAAAAATCTTTAAAAAAATTGTATAAGTCAACTGTGTCAAATAAATATTTGAGTGAACAATAGTCATATATCAAAATTTAATGTATATAATTTTGCTTCTTAGGCCCGTTAAAAKAATTTTGCCTTAGGCTCTATGTTATTTGAGCCAATGTCGTATACAAGTAATCTGAAGTTTCAAAATAGGGACAAAAAAACAATCGTGGAAAGTGTTCTAAACGCACAGAACAATAATAGGAGAATTTATATAAAATTAACAATCAAAAAACAAAAAATTTACAAATTTCCACTAAGATCAACAAAAATCCAACATAATATAGTCTCTTCGTATATAATCAGACCATCATACAATCCAAAGTGTACTCATCTTAGAGAAATTAATTTTCCTTGATAAATATCCGTGTAGATAGCTGATGAGTATAGACAAATGATCGCCTAAGGTCTCATAATTCTAAAGGTGTCTATTTTCTACTTATACCACAAATTATTTTAGGCCAGTCCGGTTCATAATAAAAATAACAAAAGTTTCATAATATAATATAAATAAATATTGATAACTATAAAGATGACATGATTAAGATATTTAAAATAATAAATAAATATTATGTTAAAAGAAATTAAAGTAAAATATTAATTTTGATCTCCGACCTAATCTTTTCCAATATATTCTCAACCTTCATCAATTTATCTTATCCATCCGATTTATACTACATGAAAAAAAACTATTTCAAAATATAAAAAAGTGATCATATAGCATAATTCAGTGGAACCATCTCAAAATCATAAAGATTGAGCTCCTCCCAATTTTGCTTGGGTTATGGTATTATAGCAAAATCAATTAAAATAGACCTTTAAAAAATCTTTATATTTTACTTAAGTACTTTTTATTCTTTCTCCATTTTCATTTTCATTTTATATATTTTAAAGTCTAATTCGTTACTTCAGATAATAAAATAATGCATATTAAATATGATGCTTATAAAAATGTTAGTAAAATTAACCATATTTGAAAATTTAACGAAACATTTTAGTAAAATCAGATTATCAAAATTTATGTATATAATTTGGCATTTTCCGGCCTTAAAAAAAATTGGACTCAGGCCTATATTATTTGAGTCGAAAACTAATACTGAGAAGTGTTTTAAACAAGCAGAACAATAATAGGAGGATATGTATCTAAATTTCCAGAGACATTTTTCACCTGATGCTGCTAGTGTTCAAAATTAACAATCGAAAAGCAACAGATGTACAAATTTCAACTAAGATCAACAAAAGTCCAAGACAACGTCGTATTGTAATACAGTCCGCTCATATATAATCGGACCACCATATTATATATATAAAAATAACTAAAATCTTTTTCCGCCCTCCCAAAAGTGTCAGTACCACACACAACCTTAACAACAAGGCTTGCTCTCACCTCCTTCGGATGGGCAAAATGTACAACCACCTTTTTTCTCATCAGATCAGCTCCTGGTTTCAAGATTTCAGGAAAAAACCGGCACACGAATTACAGAGGGCACGTGCTCGAGCTGCTTCCACCACGAGCCTTTCATGCTATCTTGAATAGCACCACCACCCACCACCCTCACCCATGGAAAAAGCAAGATCAAGCCAAGTACCTAAACAAGTGGGGATTGTCTTTGTCTCTCTCTAGATAGTCCCGGGTGATCAGATCTTCGATTCTCTTCTTTATCGCCTTGAAATCGGGCTGCACATGGTATTCGTATTTCAATACACTATGAAGCTGAGAAAGAAGCATCATTCACACGGGAGTCAAATAAGAGACGTGCTACACTAACCTTGAACATACGACCCAACTGCTCGACGCACTCCATCACCAACTGCTGGTGTCCCAAAACCTTCCGACTCTTCATTATCCGCACGATCGAGGCATCAATAGCGTATCTTCGATCCTTGTCAACATCTTCAATTACTTTCTTCTTCTCATCCACAGGAGGAAGAGGGATCTACATGATAACAAAATGGAATGACGCCACATTCCCCAGCCAAACAGTATAAACAAAAGATGCGAGTCCAGTACCTTTATTCTCCTCATTTTGTCGGTGAATTTTGCATTGAACTCAAAATGGTCGTTGGGAGAGATGGTCTTTGTATTTGGCTCCTTGTTAAGAATTTTATACTTGGCACATGACAATGAGTGCAGTAGTCTAACAACATCGTCATCGCTCAAGTTTAATTGCGTCATGATTTCGGAGTAACCCAATCTATCTGAGGAATTGAATAGCAGCAGAGCAGAAGCCTACATTTAAATAATAGAACAAACTTAGCAAATAAGAGAACTAGTACCCACAAAAAAGTTTATCACCAACAACAACATTCTTGTGGCCAAATCACCTGATAAGTCGTCACAATCAGCTCCATTATTTTCGGTTCAAATTTTCCGCTGATGTTACAAGTTCCCAAGGAGTAAATCCACGTAAGTTTTCTATGCTTTGTTTTGGTTTGATAAAACTCTCTGAAAACTTCAACACACTTCACCTGAAGCAAAGACACAAGAATTTTCAAGAAGGCACAATTGGTCATACAAAACCATCGCATATGACATGATTCCGGATAATCATCGAGACCTATTGCTCATCTCAAAATATTAACAAAAACTAATGCCTACCATCTCTGCCGGCAGGTTAAGGTCAAAAGACTTGTAACTTGGCCAAAAACCAGTGGTCAAAACAGTAACAGTCAAGTCGATTCCCGGACTAGCTTGTGGATTATTGCTCAAGTACTCCTCGAAACTAGTTTGGTTCTCCCTTGCCAGAGTCAAATCAGTGACCTAAACATATGGCTAGAATATTAGCAATTCATTGTTCATAAATTATTTCACGCAATTATTTCAACTTTTTTTTAATAGATGATGATAGTTATTTAAATGTATCACAATTTATTGATCTTGTATAAAACTTACTGCAAAAATTGAGATCGTTTAAAATTTTTAGTAGAAAATTTTAGTGGTAGATTTGTGCTTACCATCCCCTCCATCTTAGAAGTGAACTGGCCACCACATTGTTGCTTCAATTTGGTCAATATACTTCTCTCGTGGTCATCATTGGCACTCTTGTCGAAGAGAAGCCTTCGAGCAAGTTTTTTTCTGCCACCAGTTGCATAAATAAGTTGTTTCAAGATAAACTAAAAAAATAATTAACTGGATCGCTCATATCAAGGCCATTAAAATAATAATAAATAAATAAATCTGTAAGAGCATCCTACTTTCTCAAAGTACCAATACTCACCTGTAGAATTCAGCAAACAGATCTTTGTCGCAGATATAAGCAAGCAACTTCACTACCTGAATAAGAATATTTAAATCATATGAACTCCAAAGTTGCAACACTAAATGAACATCAAATTAATAATAAATAGAAAAATACCTTCTCAAGTGTCTCCTCAATTGCTTCATCACTCAACTTCTCACTTCCACCTTTCTTAAGGATGTTATCACAAAAGGTGGCAAGTAATTCTGCACTAGAACTTCCAGCAACACCCTTATTGCAAAAGACTTCAAAAGCTTCCTTGAGAGCCTGCACAAAAACACACTTCAAATGTGCACAAAAGCATAGTGATATTAAGAATTTCACTGGATGTACTGAAGTTGAAGTCACGTACCTTGTGAAATAGTGTGTGGTTTTGGAAACAATCATTCACATAAGCCAAGTACTTGTCGTGAAGCTCAATCACTTTTCTTACAAAAACCTGAAATCAAACATCTCTCTCAACAATCATTCAAAAAAAAGACTTGAAAAAGGGTATAATCTAGAAGTTTGAAAGTCAAAAGGCACACCTGTTCCTGCAGACCAACTATGTCCTTTTTCTCGGCCTAACGAGGTAAAGAAAGGGCAGAGATAAAACAAAGAGTCATTATGAGCAGTAACGAACCTTCTCCAAAAATATTATGATGGGTAAAGAGAAAAAAGGGACAATTCTAAAATAAAGCTTTTTATCCCAAATTCATTTCCACATATAAAAAGAAAAACAAAAGAAAGCAAAAGCACCTCACAACAATCTCACGGAAAAAAGGTAAGCCACATCCACAATAATTTCCTTTCTGCCTATTTGTTAAAAAATATGTACAAGCAAAATTTGATTATTAAAACCAATTTACAACTCACAAGCCCTAGCATAAAAGAGATAAAGGTTAATATTGCACCTTTACAGTCTCTCAGGGAAAAATCACAACTGAGTGGTTGCATATTATCCAATAAGATAAATTAAGAAATCAAGGTTATAAAAAAACTTCTAAAAGCAAACTAATTGAGATAGAAACCTTCTTGTTACTGGCAGCATCTTCTGCCTGTTTGACCAATGCTGTTCCTTCAGCAGTGACATGCTGCATAAATATTACAGAAAAAATATATCTTTAAAGAAAAAGTAGATTGGAAATGGAACATGAGCTAATACATAATACCGTTCCAAGCCAAAAACAAAAATATATATATATAGAGAAAAGTATAAATGCAGACTGCCAACCTGCTTAAATATGTTGGAAACTGGGTCCAATCCCTTGGGTATTTTGGAGAAGAGACGAAACATCCTTGACAAATCTTCCACCTAAAAATATCCACGTCCCCCAAAGCCCAAAAAGATCAAGAAAAGGGAAAATGAAGACAACAGGAAACAAAAAATACCAAGGAAGCACCACCATTATTCATAGTTAGTACCTTGTCGTCTCTAAGCAATGCATGGCATCCTGAATGCTCTTTCTCCAGAAGTTGAGTAGCATAAACAGACAACAGTTCATGTTGAACTTTCTACAAGAATAAAAACTAGAATAATCAAAAATGGAAGGAAGGGGGGGAGGGATTATACAGAAGAAGTGGATATATCAGCAAAAGTCAACCACAAACCTCCAATAACTTAGGCTCGCTACTAGAGTGCAAATAGTGAGAAACTCTATCTTTTTCTCGTTTCAAGCATTCCTCAGCCTATAAAATCAGTAAGAAACCATTTCTATGCATTAGGAAAATGTAGTAGTTCAACTAATTTTAAAAAACACGCTAAAATATTACTTTTAGCATATAATCGGGACAAGAATCTTCTAGGATCCAATTTGAAGCCTTCCTAGAGTAATAAGCAGCAGTATCATTAAGCATTGCAGCTTCAAAGTCATTGTCATAGTAATCCATTTGCCCCATCCCAATCTCAACAAAAATATCCAAAACATTCTTTAATAGAGCTCGGTCAATCTGCTCTCCTTCACGTTCTTGATCAATCTGATTTACAAGACCATTGTTATTAAGCACATTTAAATCTCAAAGGTCATGCTGAGCTGTTGGAATAAAAGAAGAGGGAGAGGGGGGAAAACATACCAATGAAATTACAGCGTCTCTCACATTACTGTTTAGCTCTTTGTACACCTGAGATAAGTAGAGATTACTATTTAAACTAAAATTCATGTATTATATTCGAATTAGTCAAACTGCATTCAGACTAAATGAATGTATTAGAAAATGCAAGTATGCAAGAAGTTCAGGCTCTGCCTTTAGGATGAAGCCACAAGTCCAAACTTGCAACATACCAATTCTCGAAAGCAAGTGAGTCCAACTTCATTGAGGGGTGGAAGTGACCTTCGAGCAATGAAGTATCGATCGAGATAGTGAAAGAATCGAGAAAGCCACCTCACCATGACTTTGTGGTTGGTCCACCTTTTGACAAGTTCCCTCAACATGAACTCATCATGCTTCTCCCTCAGGGATGGTAAGACCTAAGTTCACCACAATTAACAAATAGCACGTGTTATGGTCAAAATAATTATAATTTCGATGCTATCATCAATTAATTCTTTAAAAGAGAAAGAGCCAACAATATAAATAACATTGAAGGAAGAAAAATAATCTTTAGAAATGCATACACATGTCCATGCATAAAGTTTTCCAAAAGAAGGCATGCACGGCAAGCATTTCAAAACAACACCATGCAATAAAATTTGCAGACGTACATCAATTGGTGGTCTGATAAAGGAGATAAATTTTATTATGAGGTATTGTATTAAAAAATCAATGTAAAATGCCCATAGGGTCGCAACCTCCAATACTAAGAAATGTGCAAGTTGAATTTGTGACAATTGAATTACAATTATAATGATGTTTGCATGATCAGTCTGTGGTATTACGCATGGCATAAGCTGTGTGATTTCGATATAAACCACAACAATTTCCAATCGGAGCAGCTTTTAGAAAGGCCCCTTGACTTTGAAATGGTCTCTACTCCGTTTCTGAACTTTCCACTTATTTTCATTTAAATAATAAATGATAAAATAAGTTCGAGTCGTTGATAAGAATATGTATCAGGTCGTATGAGATGGATTAGATGAACTTGTTTCTCACCATGGAAGTGATGTACTCTTCAAAAGATTCGCGATATTTATCATAAAGCTGCTGGGAGTAATCATGCGGAGGCTTTTGGGTGCACATGTTATATATGGTCCTACAAACAAAAGTCAGACGACAATTAAGCCGACCATCATAAGAGTACTGACCAACAATATGCATAAAACCGAACAAGAAACTTTAAGCAACACAAGAAATAGTACGTGTAAAGCATCATGTAGTCCTCGGAGCTAAACTGAGGCTCAGGCAAACCCTCTAGAATGTTCTTCAATTTTGTGATCCCCTTCTGCATAAATTCCCATCCTTGCTCTAAGTCAATAGTCTTCCGCTCACCCATTGTCATGTCGACAGAAATCCTCCTTACCGAAGACTAAATAAATAAAAACCTGCAGATCATAAAACCAGAGTTCGAAGTTAGCATTCGTGCCAGAAAGAAAACCCTAACTTGATAATAGACCCATTTATCGGGCCCTATCCAGGAACAAAACGAGAATCAAAAGTAATGCTGCGTCTACATTAATATAAGCATAAAAACTAGAAGCTCCAAGAATCGTAAACGAATTCGAGATTAAACAAGCTCCTCCAAAATCCAATATGTCATCGTCATTCATCCATTAACATAGACAAACCTCGTCAACGAAAATTCAAAACACATAGAGAAACTGAACAAGGGCCTCGAAGAACCAAAATTCAAAGTGGAAACAAACAATAAGAAAATAAAATCATCCTAATGATCTAAAGGTAGATCCGAAATCACACAAAAAGCACAACGAAAAGGCATCATCAGAGGAAGAAAAAGGCACCTAATACGGTCTCGTCGAAGAAACCCTAATCAAGAATCAAAACCCCTACATACGATGACGGAGGAAGAGGAGAAACGACGGAGCTCCGCCGGAAATCGTCGACGGCGAAAGAGCGATAAATGCGAGAGCTGTCGGGAGAGGGCGAAGACTCGAGCCCCGTTGGATGGGAAGTGAATGAGACCCCCTTCCGTGTTGAGGATTTTTTTTTTCCTTTTTACCAATTTTAATTCTTCTGATTTCCGTCGTCCGTCGTCTTCGTCGTGGATTTTAAATTACTTTTCTTGCAAGAAAGGGCTTCAACTCCGTTCTTTTGGGTTTTTCGCCCCTATAGACTTTAAAATTTGTGGTTCGTGCCCAATGTTTGTGGCATGGACATAAATACACACCATCTGGCATTTAATATCGGGATGCGTCAATTCTGTTTTTTTTCCTTTTTTTTTTTTGGCTGTCTCAATCGTCCTAAAATGTAATTATTAATAAATTTTGGAAAAGGTATAATACTGCAAACTTATGTGCTAACATTTTAAATAACAAAACTTTCGTAATTAGTGGTTTCATGACTATTCGTTGGAGGTTAAAAAACATTTTTGGTATCGATATTTTTGTTGGAGTAACGATTTAGTCCTTAAACTTTAGATCGTAATGATGTAGTCCATGTATTTTTTTAAATTGTTAACAATTTAGTCCATAAATTTCAATATTTAACAATTTAGAGTTACCATTTAGTCCACGAAAATTTTTTTATTAAATTTTTATATATGTAAATCAATAACTCAATGGAGATAAATGTATTTATAAATTACAAATACTATTATTATAAGATAAAATCTAACACTTAATTTTGATAAGATTTTTTTATGTTAGAGACTAGATTGTTACAAATTTTAAATGATAGATACTAAATTGGTACATAATAAAGTCTAGATTCTAAATTACTATGAATTTGAGAGTAGAAATACTAAATCATTAAAAATAAAAGTTCAATGATTAAATCCCTACTTTATTAAAAGTACCATGACAAAATGTTTTTTAACGTTTTTATAAAAGGAGATTCAAATCTGCGACCTTTTAAAATTATAAAATTATTTCATCTATGCTCATCTCGGTAAAATTAATATTATTCTCACAATTTTTTCTATATATAATTAATAAGTTAGCATTTTCTACAATTAAGTTGTCACGTAAACAAATTTTTTAGTACAAAGGTGGATTGATAATTGAATCCATGATATCTAAAGAAGGAGCAAAATATTTCAATTGCGGAAATAAATTAGTATTGACATCACGTCAACAACTTAATAGTGGATGTTAAGTCACTCTACGATATGCGATATGCGTACATGTGATAAATGTCAATTAAAAATTATAAAATCTAAATTAAATAACCAAAATCAATATCCAAAATCAAGAGATTGGCTAAATGGACTTAAAACTAACTTCTTCATTTTTCTTTTTGAAATTGTGTACTCTCAATTTTATTATTATAATTCGCTAGAAAATAGTAGAATTGTAAAAATAAAATTTATCTTAAGCTTTGGAAGGATTGGAGTGTGATTGTTGGAAAATTGGGATACCTAACGTGCAAAGTGACCCCATCCCCACACTCTAAATAACCCAAATATTAATATTTTGTACTCTTTGTTTGTCCATTGTCTTTAGGCGGTGTGATCCACTTCTTTCGTATCATTTGCAGAAAATAAAAACATAAAAAACTACTTATTGTGTAAATAATAATAATAATAATAATTTAAGTCGGTAGGTTGCAGTAATTATTCAAGTTTGGTTGCTCCCCAGATTTATAGAGCGTTTGGGTCATGAGTAATTTGTCTACTCTGGTATTTGATTTTAAGGTAATTCATCCAACTTTTCCTTAAGTTGAATCATCTATATGATTGAATTCACGTGACTGGAGACTCGATTGTCCATATACTTGACTTGTCACGTACTGCTAAACATTATACATATCATTATACTTAATTGCTTAAGGTTTTTATGGTGGGTTGATCTATAGTATAATCCTTAATTCATACCATCAGCTTGTCATATACGCATTGAATTAGATTGTCATATTTACATTGAATTGGATGAGTGAACAACAATTACTTGTTATGTATAAATTTGAAAGTTCATTAACCCGGCTATTGTAAACTTTTTAAAGTATAATGAATAAATAGACACAATAAATGCCAATCCAAACAGTTAAGGTGTCAAGTGAGCACACCTTAGTAGTAATTGACATATGTTTCAAACTAATAAATTGTAAATTTGAGCCCTCATCTCAAGTCGGAGGACCTCCGTGTATATATATATATATATATATATATATAAACAAAACCATGAAAAATTGAGAGATAAGTCATAAAATTTTAAATATATCATTAAGCTATGCTCGCTTTGACCACAACTCTCGTAATTGAACTTATCATTTGATTGACTTAATATTTAGAGTTCTCAATAAATATTATTTCTTTTTCATTTTTTCCTCGTGTGTACCACTCCCCCTGTGTAGCATTCACTATTATTTAGCTACATGATTATTCATTGGAATGAAGTTAAAAAGTCTCAAGGATTTTTTTTCTTTTTTTTTCTCTGCATTTAATTATTAATGTTGTTATATATGACAATATATAGCAACGTACCATAGTTAATAAATGATTTCTTTAAAATGTATAGTTAATAAAGGGTTGATCTACTTAGATACATCTAAATATAATTTAAATGATAAAATAGATATCACTAACTAAATGTTACAAATTTGAATCTTCACCTTCTAGATATTGTTCAACTAAAAAAACCATAACCAATAAAATATACGAAATTGATCTATGCTCTCAAATTTCTTCAACAAACATATACGAAAAGGAAAATAATATAATGAATGGTTGAATCCAATTTGAGCTTTAATGGTCTAATATAATTGTAATTTTCTGCCAATGCAATCTTAGTTCAACGGTCAAGAGATTCAACTAAAAGAGTTTAAATTGCAATTTTATAGCTCACAAATAATTGATTATATTTTCTCAAAAAAAAAAAATCGATCTTATACATGTGGTTTAATTATTTAAAACAGTCCCCCTCAAAACTGATGCGACATAACTTCCACAATGGGAGCTGTTTGTACTTATACGAAAATAATAATAAATAAATAAATGATTAGACATTGGTTTATGATATCAAACCAAGTCACATCACGATACATATACATCTTTTACAACTTAACAAATTACACCAATAAAAAGCAATAAATTTTATTGAAGTAATTTTAATTCCTAAAATTTAGTAGGTATAATTTTAATTCTTAGTATAATGAACTTTTAATTTTTTAAAAAAATTTAACCTACATTTTTCTAAAAATTTTAATTAATCATTTATCTTTTAAAATTTTTTAATTTACCATCATACTTTCAATAAATGATATTAATATTATTCGAGGATGAAAACTAAAACCTAGTCAATATAGTTCTTAATTACGAGCAATTTAGAAAAAAAAAAATTATGGTAGAGAAGAATATCTAATTTCTTTGTCGAACTTCTAATAAGCTGACATAATTAAACTTGACTCCTTTATTAAAGTAGTCTAATTTATTATTTAAATATATACCAACTAGAGCATTGTTATTGTGTCATGTTAAGTCAGGTAATGATTAAATTTAAAACATAATAACTAACCTTTTGAACGATAGAGAGTAAATTAACAAATATTGAAACATTTATTTTCCAAAAAAAAGTAGAATTATTATCCAAAACCTTTTTCTTTTACCAAAGAAAAAGCTTTTGTTCGCTTAATTTTTTATTGAAAGAGAGAAACTATTTTCGAAACAGAACAACCCCTGGCCGGCGCCGGCGGCTCATCAAGCTCGAATAAAATTTACCGAAACGGCGTCGTTCGGATTCATTACCCACCGTAAACGGCGTCGTTCTTCAGATTTATTTACCTTCTGTTCGTCTTCTTCTTGCTCCCTATACTTACAGAGGTACCTTCTCAAAGGTCCGGCGAAATCGTCGAATCCTAGGGATTCCAGAGCCGAGCACAGGTCATCTCCGGTCACCGTCCGGCGGGCGTCCCTCCGGCATTTTTCCGACGCCTCGCCGGTGACGAAACCGATGAACTCCGACGCGCATTCCTGCATCGTTTCCTTCGCTTCCTTAGAAATCTTCGCGTTCGCCGGTAAAATCTGCTTCATCAATCGGCCGACGTTGGCGATCGGCAGCAAATTCTCCGGCTCCTTTAGAATTCCGCCATTGCCGCTGATCTCTGAAGCATCTGCTCCAGAATCTCCCTCCATTTTCTTGAAACTTCGAAGAGCGCCCTAATTCTCTGGTCAATTATATAGAGGATATCAAGAACCCATGTTTATGAACGGGTTTGTTCATTGAATATTCCATATCCATTTTTGTCTCTTAATGTGTTTTTCTTTTCTTTCCTTTCCTTTATTAATATTTTTGTTTTCAATTATTTGAAGGTTGTAACTTGTAAATTATATTTTGTTTGATTCCAGGTTTTATTTAATTACAAAATATAACATGAAATTTACCTTCTATTTCAAAAATACATCTTTAAATCGTACCTGCCCATTGCTAGGTGGGTTAGTGTACTCTGATCCAAGGTCATGGATTTGAATACCCCATGCCTAAATATGGTAAAAAAATACATTTTTAATTCAAAAAATTTTAATACTGTAATTGATTTTCATAAGTATTTTAAAAATACTATTTGAATAAAGTTAACATTTTGAATGAAAAATTGAAGGGGTGAAATTTAAAATGACATCAGGTAATGTGAAAGCTTGATACAACAAATCTGAAAATAGATAAAATATGGAAGAAGCTATCGATTTAAAAGGAATTAGAGCAAAATTAAGTATATAAAGACTAGGAGAAGCAACCTCTCTTTGACAATGGAGGAAGAAGACTTGTCGGATAAAATTGGAATATTAATTGGCATATCGTTACATATCACATATATGTCAACTAATTTTAATTTAAGCCAAAGCGAACTAGCCCAGATGTAATTGACATATATCTCCAACTAAGATTATAAAATGAAGTAAACAAACAGAGCAGTAATATGGTCAAATCTTTTGCAAGTACTTCTCGAACCAGCTATATTAATGGATAACTCAAAGCAATTTAGGGTAATTTTAGCTACCAACTAGTCAACAACAACAAATTTTCTTTCTCGATTACTATAGTAAAAATTAGACGACCATAATAGGGTCATCTCGACTAATTACTTTTATATAAGTATGTAACTTTGGACGATATTAAAGTTGGTTCAAAACTTCTATAATTATGTCAACATCTTCCTCACAAATTAATACACCATGCTATAAGAATTGGCATGTATTTGAATCAAGAAAAAACAATCTTAACTTTTTATTATGTTGCACAGTATGGAAATAATTAAGGGAAAAAAAAGCTAAACTTTTTATTATGTTAGACAGTATGGAAATAAATAAATAGAAACTTTACCCAAAAATAAGAAATAAAAGGGCATAAATCCGTGAGTTGCAAAAGAAATTTGGTGGGTGGCGATCGAAAGAGACAGCCGACCTGGTCGGCATCAATGGTGGGTCCCACGTCAAATGGGTCGTTATCTAACGGCAAAACAGACGGCAATCTTGTCCCACCGTCGAGTTTCATGATCGGCCATTCGGACCTCGACTGCGACCCGTCCATGGCGGAAAATAAAGAATTAAGAAAAAATGGTTAAATTATAAATCGCCGCCGAAATTTGGATATAATTCCAATTTGATCATTATCATTTTCAAAAGTATAATTTAAGCTCAATTTAATTCTCAGAAATGAAAATGAAAATGTTTTATAGTACATATGGTCGTTGACTATAAATTTCGATCAATTAAATCAAGTATTTTTTTGATATTTGAATTCGACCCATCAAATTATATCATGACCATATAAGGGCATAAGTTAATCTAATAAGAATATGCCACGTATGATTGGTCCAATCAAAATTCGTCTGTTTGATGACATAAGCCGACCTAATTAGATTGTGTCACGTGGTAATGGAATTAAAATAAGACGGTCCAAGTCCACCTAAGGTTCATTCACCGTCTAATTTATCATTGCATCAAGATACTGCAATAGGATCAAAATCCTCCTGCCCTCCAAAGATCAAGTAGAAGCCAAGGAAGAGGCCGATCAAGATCAATAGCTACGAAGAGGCCAAAGAGTGAGAGTAGTTGGGTTTGGTGCTTTGATCCATATACTTTTTAAAAGTTTAAAGGTATTTATAGTTTAATCAAATGTACACAAATCGTCTCGATTATTATATGTTGGTATGTGGTATTGAAATTTACTTTTTATAATAGTTAATTATCTATGTTAATGAACAAAGTTTATGAATAAGTAAGAAATAGGAGAAAATGCGAACTTTTCAAATAAAAAAACAAATTCTAAAAGTATTGTAGCTTTATTAAATCATGTGGGCTAGATTAGCAGATGATAGGAAGAGACCGAGCATATTGAGCCGAATCCAAATGACAATGGACCCAATTCTAAGCGCACGTACGATTTGTGCGAAAGACAGCTAGCAGCCAGGGTGTTAGCATCACCGTATACTTAAGCTGCGATATTTCTTCTAAGATCTGAAGGGAATAGGAATGTTAGTGGTTCCCACGACTCCTAGGCGTGATATGCTACCCTCAGTGTTACAGATTCAAACTATATCTCCATACATAAGGAAGAGGGCAACCCTAATCAAGGTGAGTTGACTTTTCCTACACTAACTCCTTTTAAGAATTCGAAACACGGTCAAGTAGACTCTCATTTTTGAGTTGATTGCCCTGCCCTACTTGCTCCGTATCTGTATGTTCTGAACTTGAATTCTAGAGTACATTTTACCTCAATGCTCTATTTTTTTATACATTAATTAAGAGCTTAGAGGTGAGGTACTTACATATGTGTGATGGTCGTTGAGAAATAAGCATCTATAAATATAAATATATATGAAAAGAAAAAGTATTCAAAAGGGCAAAAGGTTGGTTGGGCTTGCTCTACGTGGTCACTGCCACTCAAAAGTTGTGTATAATTCTGGTGCATGGCCCAAACTGGTAGCCATCCAGTTTTTAAAAATTGCAATAATAGCTAATTTTTGTATTTTTATTTCATTGGCTTTGATTATAATTTTAACGTGATACCTTTATGTTAAATATTTTGAGATGTTGTTATAAATATGTATTAAAATATATTTTTTATTGTGTTAAAATCCTGTAAATAAAGAACAAAATATTCACTTTTTTTTAGTACAATAATTAAAATTGATATTTTGAAATGTAAAAATTAAAATGGACAAAAGACTTATATATTTATTTCTTTCCTTAAATGAGTCTTTCACTTTTTCATCGTGCACAATGCCCATCCCATATATAGTAATAATATTCGCATTTAAAACGAATTTTGGAAGTAGAGGATTTCGGATAATAACGTTCCATGACGTGGTCCAATCACACCATTTCAGTGTAAGTATATATATATATTTTACATATACCTATAGCTGTGTGTATTAAAATATTATTCTAGCCGTGCACTATCAAATTTGGTTCGATTTTTTACTTTTAAAATATCTATTTTGATTAATAAATTTCAAATTTCGATCTATTTTAATCCATATATTAAAAAACGTTTGATTTGATTCATAAGTGACTATTTTAATCTCTGTTTGCATAATTTTAACAAAAATTTTACGTACCAAAACTTATTTAATATAAAATTATGGATACATCCAATAAATATATGGAATATAGTGTCGTATTAAAATTGTGATAGAAAAATAAGATAAAAATATGACGAAGGTACAAAAAATAAATATTTTTTAAAGTATAGCGATCCAATTAAATCTTTTGAAAATACATATAGATAAAAATTCAAAATAACAAGGTCGAGATTATTATTATCTTTTTCTATTTGGAATTACGTTCAAACTCTAATTAACTAATTTGAGATATTTATTTCACGTAGGTTTTGAAACACACGATGCCACGAATGTTATACATTTATTTTAATAAAAAAAATTGTGTTTCTGTTTAATAAAACACAAAAAGATAATTAGCAAACTAAAATCGGAAAATGTCGTCTTCTCGGTTAAAATCCCATACTATAATATTAATATATGAAATTCCACCAAAATTATATTTTTTCCCCAAATAAAAAGATATGAGTGGCAACTTCTTTTTAAAACACGTAATAAATAAAAAGTTTGGAACGGAATTTTGGTACTCACGCTCCATAGTGCGCGTGTAACCACGTGCCATGATTCATCTCCTCGTTGGCAGCTACCGAGACTGAGACTATGAAGCTGCTAAAGAAGGCTATCCTAACACAGCCGTTTCCAGCTTCTTCCCAACGACCAATTATATTGTGACACGTGTCTCGACAAAACTGCCAATCAATCGCCGACATTGGTGGATTTGTTGCATTGTACTCATGAGTTCATGTGGTGAGTGGTTGATAATTATTTTATTTTAAATTAAACTTATGAAAATTATGTAACATTACGTTACTAAGATTTTTAAAACAATAAATAAAATTTTATTTTTACTGAGCCTAATTTAACGGATTAAGACATTTATATCCGATTTAAGTTCAAATCTCCTACTTATCTATTATAAAAATAATAATAAATTATTGACTTTTAAAATAGTAACAAAACTTTTAAATAAAATTTTCAATAAAAATAATAATAAATTATTGACTTTTAAAATAGTAACAAAACTTTTAAATAAATTTTTTTGAAAGTAAATAAGAGAACAATGAAAAATGTTAGATCTCACTTCACATTACTTTTTATATATATTTTTTAAATAATTTTGAAAGGGAAAAGGGTAAATGCCAGATCGAATTTCATAGAGACTTTTTTTGTTTTTGTTGTATTTTAATTTAAAGTGAGCTTATAAATCTATTTGAAATTGTCTGTTCTTTGTAATTAGTTTTAAAATTTTCTTAAATTTTTAGCCAACTTTAAAAACTAAATAATAGATTTTATAACTATTTTAAATAGTTTTCAAGATTTTATTTGGATTTCAAAAATATTTTTAAAGATTATTAGAGAATACACAGACACACTGATACGAGAAAAACAAATATGAAGATGGGAATGTTCTTTCAAATCTCAATAATTAAATCATAATATTTTAAAATATGAAAAATATAAGAGGAAAAAAAAGAGAGAGAAGATATAAAATGATAACATCGATATTAAAAAGCATTTAAATAGTGATTCGAGGGGGAATCAAGAAAAATAAATGGCTCATGATATAACAATTATCTTTTTATATTCCTTTTTTAAATTATCTTTATATATTCTTTATAGTTTACCTTTATTGTTGTCTTGATTTCAAAACTGTTAAATCAAAAAATATAATTAACTTATAATAAATTAATACTAATTTTGGTATGCTCGAGTGTAGCTCTCGTTATTTCCGGGTAAAAGTATTATTATTTATTTTTAATATTACCGGAATGAAATTATTTTAACTTATAGTATTTCTAATATCTATTTACATTACATTTCACATGTACGAGATTTACTGTAAAAAGATTATAATATTTCACATGTACGAGATTTACAGTACTGTAAAAAGATTATAATATTTCACACGTACTCAGTTTTTCTAAAAATTAGCAATAAAGTACATCATGTAAAGAGCAACAAAAATTATATACTTCTATATGTATTTTGTCCTGTCTCTAAATTGTATATAGTAAATCCAATTTTGTAATTGTACCAACATGTGATAGCCATGGGGTGGTGAATTTATTTTCAGGCTTTGTATATACACCACCGATTAAACTTGTGCACCCCTAAACAAAAAGTTTCGACGAGTTTCAATATATATTTTTTAATATTAGAGAGATTTATCGGGTAGAAAATTACATCATTAGATAAACTAAAAATCTGGTATGGTGGACAGCCTAATTGAATAATTGAAATTAAAAAAATAGATTATATAAGTTAATATATGTTCTAATTAGAAGAGCGGGGGACAATAGATAGAATTTTAGAATGATAGGCTAACAAATCGGCAGACAATTGAATTGAGAAGATTTTTCATGGTTGAAGAGTGAGTATAGGTGAGGCAAGATAACATATTTTTTCTCGAGAGTATTTCAATATGATCTTAATGAGAGTGCGATTTTAAGATGAATTTGAATTACTGTTCATGAAAAAACACCAACAACAATTAAAACGTTTTTATATACAAAAATATTAAGTCTAAAATAAAAGTTGTAAAATGATTGAATTAAGAAAATAAGGCAAGTTTAATACAAAAGAACCAAAATCGAGTTAAGAAAAACTAAATCAAACATTTATAGGAATTCCGAGACTGAATTTAAAGATTGAAAAACCAAAACAAAATATACGGAAAAAAAAGGTCAATTAAAATATGGAAAGAATAAATAGATTTGGGAACAAATATAATACTGCAATAAAAGGTGGTTTTTATAATAATATTATATTATTATATTTAACTTTTAAGATGGAGTTTTAGAGAAACTGGCATCCAATTCAGCCGAAGCGGGAAGCGGGAATCGGGAATACTAATTTTCACGTGCCACGTGTCACTGAAGCTACTCCACCTTGCGCGTAGGATTTCCCCTTTCTTCATCCATCCCCCTCTCGAAACGACGTCGCTTTCAAATTTTTATTTTCCTATTTTATTTTCTTTTAAAATTTTCCTTATTTCTTTTAATTTTCCTTATTTATTTATTTACTCCCTCCCCCCTCCCCCCAAGTCCTCGATTTTCAACCTCCTCCTTCGTATAACCATGAAACCTCAGCTTCCTTAAACCAGGTACTCTCTCTCTTTCTCTCTCTCTGTAAATCACCGTATACACAAATTCTATAACGAAAATAGTGTGTTGTAATCGCGTTTTCTTTGTTCTCAATCGGATGAAGGCACCGTTTTTTCTTTTTGTTTTTTGTTTTTGTTTTTCAGGCTGCTCTCTCTCACGTGCGCTCTCGAGCTTTTTACTACTCATCAGTCGTCAATGGAGGTGAAGTATTATACAGATTCTTCTCTATTTTCTTTTCCTTTTTTTTTTCTTTTAATAGTAATAATAGCTGCTGCGTGTTTTTTTATTTATTGTCCGCGTTTTAACGGTTCTAATTTGACGGGATCATATTGGAATTATCGCTTGCGGTTTCTTTGTTTGTTCTATTTTTTTGCCCCTTCTTTTGTGTGTTTGGGAAGCTTGTTTATTTCTTTATTTTCAACTGAAATACTTGTAATGGCAGAATAAGATTATGAATTTATGATATGATATGATTTTATTTGGTTGCTGTTATTATTATTATTATTATTATTTTTAATTTTTGGTTCTTTGTTCTTTTGTTTTTCTTGGTCTTGGTATGGAAAGTGGATCTGGGTTGAATTAATTGACTTGATTTGAAGCTTAATGCCTCTCTGGGTTGATTTATGGAATCTGTTGGCAAGAATTTTCTTTGTTTTTTTTTGGGATATTTGGTGCCTCTATTCTTGTGAATAAGTTAGGAAGGAATTGGTCTTTGGAAATGGTGTTTGTTTTTCTTGATTTCGGGAAGAAATTTTTGGTTCTAAATGCATATTTTTCTTGGCTTTTTATTGTTTGTTTATTATTATTATCGTTATTATTTTTTAATTTGTTTGAGTTCTTAATTACTTGCTAGGACATTTTAAGTAGTGAACTTGGAGTTGGAAATTTTCTTACAGTGGATTTTTGAGAGCTTTATGTTTTTCGTTCTGCTGATAATATTGGAGAAATTTGAATAAAAGTTCATTTTAAAGGCTCTAATTTACAAGTCAAGGTTGGAATTTTAGTGTTGAGAGCTTCTAAAAAACGTTCTGAAAGATAATACTGAAGGTTGATGCGAAACTAAGATCGTTGTGAGAATATATGAATCTGAAAATTTAAATGGATTTGAAAGTGAGAAGATTATACAAGACATACTTTGATGCTAAACTGGTTTTCTTTGGCAGATAGATTTGGTGAGAGAAAATTACAATGACACCAATGGCAATGAGAATGGATCTCCCGAGCACGTGCAGTCTGTTTCTCCGGAAAATTCTGAAATATGCGACGAATTTGAAGATTCAGAGGTTTCTCCTCGAGTTGGTGAAGAATACCAAGCTGATATTCCTCCTTTATTGTCGAAATCGGATGGAGACTGGCTTCAGAGTTACAAGGAGGCAGAAACTCAGGATGGTGGCCTCCATGAATTCTTCGTTGGATTGCCCGTACCGGTAATGTGGATCTCTAAGGAGGCTCATTTGACACAACATGAGCTGTTGATTAAAAAATGCAATAGAAATGAAGTCCCCAAAGCTGAATCAATCAAAGATGCCCCGATAGGCAATGATGCAAAACCGAACGTTGAGGCAATTGAAATGACAGCGAGTTTAGCTTTGCCAAAACATACTGAGCTTGCAGCAGATCAGAAGGATAATATCAATGGTCACTATCTGGTTCCCGGGGTCTCGAGCGAGTTTTGGAGCAATATAGAAGAGGCCAGTTTTCTTCTTGGTTTGTACATATTTGGGAAAAACCTTGCTTTGGTGAAGAAATTTGTTGGAACCAAACAGATGGGGGATATTCTGGCGTTCTACTATGGAAGGTTTTATCGGTCTGAAAAATACCGTCGATGGTCTGAATGCCGGAAAGCTCGAGGCAGGAAATGCATCTATGGACAGAGATTGTTTAAAGGTTGGAGACAGCAGGAATTGGTTTCTCGGTTGCTTCTTCACGTAGCAGAGGATTGCAAAAATGCATCAATGGAGGTACTTCTATACTTTCACATGTATTGTCTTTAACTTTCTTAGGTCGTATGCAATCAATGATAGACATTTTTTAGGATGAGATCGAACATAAACAATCCATTAGAAAATCGCCACTCGCTCTTCCTATATAGTAGATAGAAGCAATCTAATCTGCTGATATTTTTTTCTCGAGTTCATAAGGGACTGATTATTGTTTTTATTTCTCATTTCGAAAGACTTGTATTTGCTGCAATAGATGGCCTGTTTTGGTTCTGACTAAAAGAATTTTGTTACATGACCATATAGTGGTAGTTAGACGAGTAGCTTGAAGTTTTAACCGTAATGCCGAAATCAACTAACTTTAACTACTCAAAAAGCCATCATAGATTATCAATCACATATGTGCACAAACTTTTTAGATGAAAAGAATGAGATAAATGGTGTTTCTGATTAAATTTCGCTCGATTAGTTAGTTCCTTGGTTCGTGGACTTGCACGGTTGGATTCGTATGATGCTGCCATTTGTTTGTTTTTGCTCAAATACTTACAGGTCTCAAAAGCATTTGGAGATGGCAAAATGTCACTTGAAGAATATGTGTTTGCTTTAAAAGCTACGGTTGGATTGGAAGTGTTTGTTGAGGCAGTGGGGATCGGAAAAGGGAAGCAAGATCTTACGGGCATTGCAATAGATCCGTTGAAGTCGAATCACGTTGCTTCAATCCGCCCCGAGATACCAATTGGGAAAGCATGTTCTGCCCTTACTCCCTTGGAAATTGTCAACTATCTAACAGGAGATTTCAGGTTGAGCAAAGCCAGATCAAGCGATCTCTTCTGGGAAGCTGTTTGGCCCCGTTTGCTTGCTCGGGGATGGCATTCTGAGCAGCCAAGTAATGGTTGTACTACTGGTACGAAGCATTCATTGGTCTTTCTTGTTCCGGGCATCAAGAAGTTCTCGAGGAGGAAGCTGGTAAGGGGAAACCACTATTTTGATTCGGTCAGCGATGTCCTTGGTAAAGTTGCTTCGGATCCTGCACTGCTTGAACTTGACAACAATGCTGATAAAGGTTGTAAAAGCATGGAAGAAAACGGGTGGACTGACGACTTGAAAATGGACCAAGAGGATTTTCCTTCTCAGCAACGCCATTGTTATCTCAAACCAAGAACTCCGGCCCACAACACTGATATCGTGAAGTTTACTGTCGTTGACACAAGTCTAGCAAATGGGAGTGCGTCTAGCATTCGAGAACTTAGAAGTTTACCAGTTGACTTACTCAGCATTTCTTCGTTGAGATGTTATTCCGAAAATTACGACGTGTATTCTACAAATGAGTCAATGGAGGAATCTGATTCTGAAGAGAATCGGCATTTCGACAAGGCTGGGACTTCTGATACTACTTCTCAAGCCTCGAGGAGAAATAAGGATCAAAAGATCTACTTGAATGGACATTATTTTCCAGCTGATGCTTCAAAGCAAGTGCTTCCACTTAGTGAATTAGATTCTACTGATTCACCTGCAGAAGTTTCCAAGGAAGACAGCTCCGTACCGTTCGATGGCACACAATCTCGAAACGGTATCACACATCGGTTTAGCCAAAAAGTGAGATCGGACAACAAAAGGAAACTAACTAATGTTACCAAAAAACGCAGGAGATTGAATGCTTTTAGTTCAAAGTCGACAAGTAATATTTCAGTAGCTTCCAAGCCGAAAGAGGAGGATGTCTTCTGCTCTAAAGACGGTCCCGGTACTAGCAAGAACTTCCTACCTCGAGCGGATCTGTCTCAGGAGAAGTCTTCTACTTCATCTGGAGGCAGTCCAATGACTAGCCTCGATGGAAACCGGAACCCGAAGGATATCGACCTCAATCAATCTCGTGCCTTGATAGACTTAAACTTGCCAGTTCCTCCCGATGCTGATGCCGAAACCGATGAACCTGTTATAATGGAAATGAGGGAAGGACAACCTGACCAAACAATCAAGGAACAGGACGATCCTAGTGTAGTTAAAACTTCAGAAGCTGCCCGGGATGTGTCTGACCAGCAACTTCATATGAACTCGAGGAGAGTCAGTAGTCGAAACCGACCCCCTACAGCAAGAGCGCTGGAAGCAAGGGCGTTAGGATTGTTGGATGTTAAGCAGAAGCGCAAGTGTAAAGATCCATTTCTGGAAGAAAACTCGACGACAAGGCCGCCCCCACGACGTGTTCGGCCTAAGGTGAAACCTGCTGCAAACTTGGGAATTAACATTGATAAATTCAAGATAGAAGATAGAGCAGTTGTTAGCACATGTAATAGTAACAGTAACAGTAACAGTAACAGTAACAGTGAGGTGTTCTCTAAGGTTGAAATTTAATTCCTGAAAAAATGGTTCATAGCTTCTAATTATGCTTCAAAACAAGAGATTACTTCTGATATATATATATTTATATAACAACTGTTGATGCTGAATATAGTTTATTTATTTATTATTATTATTTAATTTTAAAGCCGACTTTAGCTTATGAATGACATTGATGTTTCCTATATTTCCAATAATTTTTGTTTTAGTTACACCATATCTTATACGAAGGACTCATTTATTTTTTCTTTAATAATTGTTTCTAGTATATGAAATTTTAGTTCTCCAAACTATTATCGGAAGGAAAAATACTTTGCTCGACGTGGTTGAAGTTTTACACTATGGAACATATGTGAGGAAACTTCAAATCGTATTTTAAAATTGTATTTAATAGTTATTTGGGAGGTGGTCATATTCTATATTCTACTCAATATTGAGATTAAAATTATGGAATATTATCGTTGATAAACAAATAAAATGAATTTAACGAATAGCAAAATGAATATTTCTTTTTTAGTACAAGAGTAGAGTGAAGGGTTGGAGTTCATGACTTTTTCATTAGAGACAGGTGTTATGTCACTGCATTTTTTCGTTAGTCAACTATGATAAAATAAGTTCAAGGATCATTTAGAAGTATTTTTTAAAAATTGGATAAAAAATGTCACTATTTGAAATTTAAGAAGCAAATATAAATTTATCTTGAAATTTAGGGTCTAAAATTATGAGGAAAAAACAAGGAAAGAAAATCTAAAAATTAGAATTTGGATTTATAAAATAGAAATAGATATGAAGTATTTAGTTTTAATCCAATCAGAATGAGGTGGGGCCCGAAAAAACATATATAAAAACATCACCACGACGAAAATTTCATTACGTGGAGAATGATCAAATCGGCCACGTTCGCCCCCCAACGCTCCTCTTATTTAGTTCTCTCTCTCGGCCGCTCGAGTTTCGAACTCAGTTGAACCGAGTCACGACTCACCGATTCGTCAGTTCATTTCCATTCTCAATCTCGCCTGAAAAGTTCGTCGTAAACCGTCCCTCTCGTAGGGTTCTTGCTACATTTCGCTCGTTGAGTGACGAATTTCGAATGAATTTGAATCTCTGATTCCAGTTCGTTGCTCGTTTGGAGGACGCAAGGATGGGACAGGCATTTCGTCGAGCGGCTGGAAGAATCAAACCTGCTTCGAGCATCGATTCCACCGCCTCTTCGTTGAAAATGGAGAGCGTCGTCGATCGGAGGCCTCCGCCGCGTGCGATCCAGAAGGCTGAGGTGCCGCAGCCTCGAGAGAGCGGCGCCCTTGATTCAGGTAATTGTAATTTGTTAATCGTTTTTTAGGTCTTCTTGGCGTTTTTTCTTGAATTTCTGCTCGAGTTTTCTTTCTGGCACTTCTAGAATCGAGGCTGAATGCTCTCGGAGAAAGATTCTGTTTCTCCATTGAATAAAATGCAGTTCTATAGAGTTTCTTTGAGTTCTAAAAGAATCGAGGCTGAATGCTCCCGAAGAAAGATTCTGTTCCTCCGTTGAATAGAATGCTGTTATGTAGAGTTTCTTTGTGTTCTAAACCATCAGATTTCGATAACGAGCCTGATTTTTCGACAACATCCTTTCCTTCTCCTTTCTCTAAATTCCTTTGGTCGCAGCATTTCTCTATTAGAGTTTTGTCGATTTTAGCAGTCACGGCTCATTTATTACTTACTCCAGTTACTGTATTCTTCTTTCGTCGTTTTTTGTTGGCCTTTTGTCTATATGAACCGAATATCTTCTGGTTTCTGTTCATCATCGCCTCTCTCTCCTCATTAACGTTTGATTTTGTAGGAGGTTAACTTCTTAAAGTTTTATATAGTGATCGATGCTGAACTTGAGTTGCACTTGCTTCTAAGATTGTGAAGTTTATTCCGATTTTACTATTTCTGTTAGTTATACTTATTGAAACTAAGGTTTCGTTCTCTGTTTCTATTGCTTATTTTCTGTGGACGTGGTTAACTTATTACAGTTTTGTATGGAGAGATCTTTTTGGTTCTGAGCTTTGAGTTATCCTGAGTTAGTTATATTGAATCAAAGGTTAAGTAGTTTTTTCTTATCTGTTATATGCTCTCTGCTTTTATTGCCTATTTTTTCTTTAGCCACTGCTTCCGTTGATTTAGGCTTCCAATGTCTAAGGATGTAAAGAATATCAGAGCATAGAGGCCAAGTGCTAGGGATTGTTGCATGATCTTAAAGAAGATTTATCTTCTGAAGTATACTGATATTCCAGGTGGAATTTCTTTTTGTTTGATTCTCTTTCTTCGTTGAACCAAACGCAGTTCAATAGAATTCATCAGATTTTTATAGTGAGCTGATTTTTTGGGAGCGGTTAATTTGGAATGGCAATAAAGATTGATTCGCTGGGGAACTGCTTATAAAATTACGGACAAATCTGAACAATAGCTATTAGAAATGCGTGTAAATCATAAAGCCAAACTGTTGGATGGAAACTTTTAGATCACTCCAGAGTCCGTTTGATGATTTTTTTTTTTGGCTGATGGGAATTGATTCATAGGTAGGATGTAATATAACTGAATGCTAACCGTTTTCAATTGTTTATTCAGGTGGTATCTTGGGAAGTAACTCTGAAAATGTGCCCGAAGAACGAGACCCTCAGTTCGACGCCATGCTTGGCCAAATGGTGGGCCGAATTAAATCCAAACCTGGAGGAAAACTTGAGATGGGGGAGGTAAGTTTCCATAAGAAGTAGCCAAATTACTCTTAGTATAATATGAGGCATTGAATACAAATTTACACTTCTTAAAAATGTAGAGCATGATTCGGTACTACCTCTCTATTCTTTTTCTCCAGTAATAATCCTTGATGTCTGAGCCAATTTACCCTCTGTCCAGTCCTCATAAAGAGTAATCCATATTGCTAGTAAATTACTTCAGATTGTTTGATTAATGATCACTATGGTGGAGAGTATAATTTAAATTCATGATTTAAAAAGCATATAAGTTTATAGTTCGTCTCTTTAATTGTCAGGAGAAAAAGAAATCCAATCCAAGATGCACCACAATTTTTTAAAAACTGCATTGCCTCATAAAGGGAGGTTCCTTCCTACTTTTTTGACGTGGTTTGTTTTTGATGATTTAAAGTATTGGTGGGTAAATTACATAAGAAAGTAACTAGTTCTTTTCTTACTGATAAGCATACAAGTTTATTCTTAGTTCTGGAAGAGATTTTTCTAAGGCTGGCTTAGGGGTTTCGCTTTTCTTTGGCCATTTTTTAAATGAAAAATCTGCCTCCCATTTATGACGTTTCCTCCAACCCTTTTGTTTTTAATTTTCTGTTCTTTGAAAATTATGATTGCTCGGTCACAATTTCTTTCTAATGTTTTCACATCAGCTCAATTCCAAAACAAAAACAAGATTTTGAAAACTATATATATATTTTTATTGTTTTCAAAATTTGACTTACCCATTGAAAACAAAGAAAAAGTAGTGTTTGCCAGAGCTCCAAAGGGCAACCAAATTGACAAGAACTTGAGGTCTTTTAGTCATATTGGTTTAGAGGCCTCTACTTCGAACTTTCTAGTAAGTTTAATATAAAAAATCCTTGATGGCTCATGGGATCAGGTTTTGGGGCTCGGGTGCTCCTGCATCTAATAAGAATGGTTAAAATGGTTATGAAAGTAACTCAAATTTGTAGGGAGGTGTTATGAGAATGAATTTTATGATTTGCGTGATAATGTAACAGGCGGCTGTGGTGGAGAGATATGAGAGGCCAATGCCGAAGCTGCGGAATACAGATGTAAAATCGAGTAGATACGAAGATCGGCCAGCTCCACCAGGAACTCTAAACGTAGCTCAGATGCGCCACGTGATTCAACTGCATGAAGGAAAGGCTGAGGATCACAATGGGACAATGGCCGTTCAACAAATTGCTCAAAGGTATAATGTTAGTGTTACACAAATACACACCATTTTGCAGTTTCTGTCTCTGCCTCCTGAGGACACTCTTAGAGCCAAAAACAAGGATCCTAATTCCTAATTAACAGGTTAGGTTTTGTTTTGTTTTGTTTTCTTCCTTTTTTTTTTTTTGACAACCTTCAACTTTGGTTCATTTTGTACTAAATTTTGAATGTCATTTTTGACATGTTGAAAAACTGCTTTCAGGTATGGAGAAGATAACAAGGGGGAAGGGGTGATTAGCCCCGGATGGGAAAATTAAAATTAAAACTTTTTTCTTTAATACTGAAAAAACGTTAGAATTATTAAACTTGCTATATCATACTAACTTTTTGGCAACGTCTACTTTGGTTTATGTCTTACTCAATGCATATGTCGTCAACGAAAAGGTAGGAAATTCCCACTCCTAGAAGTTATTAAACTAAAAAAAAAATGTCTTTTTAAAGATTATATTAATAAAAAATTATAGGTTACAAGTCCATGAATTTTCAAGATTATGTCACTTTCTAATATGTTAACATCAAAGAGTGTCTAACAAAGATATTAACTCAGATATATTAGAGAAAATAAAAAATAAAAAATAAAACAGTTAGTTTTTTGGGTCAAAGTTGAATTGTACCAATTCATAATTTATGCGAAGTGAGAACTGTCGGCAGGAGGTGTATTTTGGGTTTTTGGCTAAACTTCCTATAATTTAGTTATGGAAAAAAAGAAAAAAGAGAGCCCCTTTTCTATTGGGTCATTCCTAGAGGGAAAGAATAGGGTAGGGAAAAAAAATGCTTATTGAATAGTGTAAGAAATAGAATCAAGTCAAAATAGATTCGAGCCAATCTGATGTGATTTCATAAGCCACAAATGTGACAGCCCCAGCCGGGGCTGCCTTCACTGTTGAGGGGATGATGCCTTTGTACAGGCCAGCAGTGCCTTCGGTTTTCAAAATTTGCCGCAAGGCATCGAACATGTTTCGGTATGCACGTTGTTCCACTCTCGCTCCGTATCTGGGGTGCCTTTGCAACCCTTCAATCTGAGAAAATGAAACAATGAAAATACTTGTGAAAGTGGTTTTTCTATAATTATTTTAACGTTTGGTTACACTTTTTCAAGTTTTTTCAAGTGATTTTTATGTCATTAGAAGTGATTTAAATGAGAGAAATTTTAGAAAGTGAGACAAAAATTTTTGGACCGAGAAAAAGATATGAGAATTATAATTTTAAGGAGATATTACAAAATTAAAGATAAACAAAGTTATCCAAGTGACAGATTTTAGAAATGAAAAAATAAATTCTCAAATTTTAAGGTTAAAATTTTTTTTTGACAAAAAATCATTTGGAAACCTCCCAATTGACCGAAAATCAGTTAAAGTGATATCGGATTATTATAAAATCACTTGAGAATTGTCACCAACCATGTCGTTTTTAAAAACACCGACAAAAGTGATTTTGAAAATTTTAAATACACTTGAAAAACACTCAAAGCATCTCAGAACTTTATGGTGTTTTTAGAATTTTCAAAATGAGTTTCAATTATTTAACTAAATATTATAAAAACTTTAAAAAGTGCTTTAATGACCTATAAGCAATTTTTAACATTCCAAAGATCATTCTGGTTCTTATTCTAAAAGTTGTTATATACACTCTTTAACTTATTCCCTCTACTGCATTCTGTAGCAACTTTTTCCATCCCCTTCAACAATAGAAGGCACTTTTTAGGTGATTTTTTGCATTACTATTTTCAGAAAACAAGTTGAAATGTCAAAAACAACTAGCTAGTTCTACTGGTTATGTTTCGCCCGAGAACTCTACTGCATTTCTATCTTAATCTAAGCCCTAAGGTCATAAATGGCAGAAGTAAAAAACCCGAACCAATCGATGGAGTAAAGATGTGTACCTGGAATCTCTTTTTAACCACATCAAGCGGATGGCAAACAAGTTTTGCACATGTCCCAGCAGCTAACCCACAAAGAAAAAGTTGAAAACTCGAGAGGCCATCTTCAGGTCGAGAATTGTAGTGGCGGTGATTCCAGGCCTGCAATATCATTCGAAGGGAAAGAACTGTCAGATTAAAAGCAATAGAAACTAAACTACCAAAAAGAACACTCGAGTAAAAATAGAATGGTATAGTAGACTTGCTATAGTCCATCGCTTGAATGTGTCATAGGTGCCGAATTGTAGACCCGCATAAGGAACAATCTCGACAAGGGTAGGTGACAATCCAGCGTATAGTCCACGAAATCCCCGGGCTCGGATTATATCCATAAACGCAGACCTCATGGTAGGATAAATCTACACATTTACATAACGCATTGTTTTTGCATCAGGTAGCCTCTTGGAGGAATTCATTTTCTAAAACTGCAAATTCATATGCAATGAACATTTGTTGCCACAGCCACATTAGACTAGCTATTGGTACTGATCCTATTGGAAATTGTAGTTTATTTACACACAAACAGACTCAATGGCTCATATAAAGGAATCATAAGAAGCTGATGCTCTAATAAATTTGTTTGCAAAAATTTATCAACACCTGTTCTTCGTTCCTTTTTTCTAGGAAAGAATGAAACGTTCTACTCAGGGTGGACCTATATATTGGATTATTTTTAAATTTTTTAAGAAAAACATGGAGATCTCCAATTCAGTTCAACGCTTTGGAGGTTAAGGGATATACGGGAGCTGTTGTAGAACACAAAACTGTTTTCAGAACAAAGAATTAGTTAAACCATGTTCAGATCAGACAACTAAAATTAAGTTTTTTCCCTTCTAATATTGCTTTAGTTTCTTCCTACCAAAAGCATGAGCATTAGCATTAGTCTTGATAAGTCGCACAATCATAGTTCTCAAACACAGTTCAGAGGACAGAAACAATAATTCATAGATTTGAAACCTACGAAAAAAATGAGTTTTGGGTCTTTAATCAAATTTGATACCTTAGGTTCACCTTGCGAGGCCAGTATGGTTCTAAGAAGATCAAATGGATATGATCCAATGGTTGCTGCACAACCCGCTAGAGCCCCACTGATATAAGAAAGATATGGGCTCAATTGTATGTGGGCCTCTACATCAGATGAAAAACAGAAAAGTTGATAAATAAAGAGGCAGAAACAAGTAAATTCTGAATGCCAGGTAGTTTTAGCATCTGATATCTGAAGCAAAGAATCAATGTAACCAAACAAGACTCTGCCTGATTCCAGGCAAGAAAACTGAGTATAATTTATCTAGTAGAAAAATGAGAGACCGTTTTAGAGTATATAGTGAAATTGGTGTGGGATAAAAAGGTCAAATTTTAAAGCCACTTTGAGAATAATACATTAAATGACAAGAAATGATTTTAAAAAAAAAACATGAATCTTCCACTTTTCCAATTTAAGGAAAGGAGGATGAGGGGATGAAGGAAGAGAGAAAGCATTTAGTTATTTGTTTTTCTTTTTTTCGATAATTGGGAGTTGGAGCTTTGCTCCTCTATACCCAAGAGCACCCGCACCCACCCCAAGACCCGGACCCGAGAGACATCAAGAGTTTTGGTATTTACTGTTTTCTAACTATGGGTGTCTGCCTAATTTAGGCCAAGGCCAGTAAATTGTTTGATTCTCAAACATTTGATCCCATAAACTTGAATGGTAATATCCTAGATGGTTACTGTGGTTTGGAATCTCAATAATATTTAGTTCAGAGTTTATCTCTTTGACTACTGGGTCAACTCAGGATGGTTTGTAACCTCCATTTCTTTTCTCCCTTAAAACTTATCCAACATCACACAAATCTATTCCAATCTCCTTTAACTCAACCATCTCATTTCGTTCCTGCTGAAAAGACAGACATTGGAAATTGAAACCTCCCGTTCTACTTTCTTCACCCCCCACCCGTCATTTTTCTCAATAGCACATCTGCTAGAAGGGAAATTCCGTCAAGTTAAGAGTAAAAACAATACAGCTGTGAAGAAATTCATCTGATGTATAAGTACCTGTCTTAGAAGAACCAGCAGCATACGTTTTCAGTCTATGTAACACAGTAAATTGTATAGCTGAATATGGCATAACCATGAGCAGAGCAGGAACATTACCACGCCAAAAACCCTGCAATAGTAAAATCTAAATGAATTAAAGAAAAAACAAATTCAACTCAAGGATTTTCTTGCAAGAAAAATCAATCTAGCAAGTATATGAAACCACAGAATATCCCGAGGAAGATTGAATAGAATAGAAATGATTTAGAAGTGGAAACTGTCCTAGAAAACAAAAACAAAATCCATGCTATAATTTCCAGGGTTTGTGTGGTTCATTGTTAAGGGAAAAAGGGAAAAAAATTCAGAAACAATATTGGTTGCTTTAGTCACTAAATATGTGCACAATTCTAGCTTGATGCTAAAATAATAGAGTTGTAGGTAGTAAATAACAGAACAGGAACAAGCCACGAGGATTCAGAGCCTTCAAAGGCAATGGACACAAGATCGAAACTTTGCTCATTCAGCTATATAAAAAATATGACACAGTATTAGCTTGTAATTTAAGAAGAAGCTGCGCCTCAAGGAAACCAAAAATGAGTAAGCAGTGGACTGGAAACAAGCTTTGTGGGATCAGGAACTTTATGTAGGGTACACGCACAGGTTTGGGCCAGTTATTTTTTCTCCAGGTTACTGAATCAGCTTTGAGCATTATATGTCCAAAAAAGGTATGCTGGGATGAGATTTTCACAAATCCCCTTTTTGTGTGAAGAGGAGGCAAGTTCTGGCGGATTTTTCTGCATTAGCTATAGCTTTCAATCAATCTTTCTTTTGTAAACCAATTTTCATTCTCTATCCCATAAATGCTTGCAATTACTTTGTTCCACAGTTCATTGGTTTGATTAAAGAACTTCCAAGACCATTTAGTTAGCAAATACATTAAGTCTCTTTTCTCTTCATCTCTTGTACTCAATCCATATGCCTCCATTATCAATCATTAAGGAAGCGACTTATTTTTCCTTCAGTATTCTCTTCCTACAAAAAATTCCTCACATATCTTTCAAAATGCAGTACAACCTTCCATGAATTAGGATGACCGACATTAAACAAGAAAGTGCCAATTGCAATATTCCCTACATTTTATCTTTCCATGAAGGAGACTGATAATCACGCGGAACAATGTAATATGTTGATCGGAGAATACATAGAACCAACATACCGGTAACCCTTCCTCTCTGAAGATATCCCTTGTTGCTTGGAACATACCAGTGTACTTTGATGGTCCAGATAAACTTCTTTGAACCAAAGCCCATGAAGTTGTAGGCTCCAGTTGAACCTGTCAAAGTAACATTAGCACAAGCATTAATCACTGTTAAATTGCTTGCATGGTGTGGAGAGCAATACGAATATGCAAAAATAAGAGTAGAACTCTCATGGCATAGACAATGCCACTGGAAGTCCAGTATGGTCTATATTTTCAATTTCCAACAAGAGATAATTAAATTCCATGCATGTGCTAGAAATTATACTCAGTAGCTAGCAGGAATGAGACATAAACCTTGCATAATAAACGCAAAAGGAACTTGTCAATATTATTGGATTCTACATCGTGAACTATTTGTGACAGTTGCGTCAATGGCAAGATCGAGTATCCTGAACTATAGAAACTACTTCTACAATGAAATTCCATGCGAAGAAGTTCTATTGGAATAGTTAAAATCTTGATACCCACGCCTCAATCCTGCTTTGCAGGATAAAGTCGGAGAAAGATTCTGAACAGAAGAAGTGAAATGGATAACATCAAAGAAAGAAAAACAATTATCTCGACATCTTCAAATACCAGTAACAGATTGAAGTTCGCAACTACAAACAAACACTACTTTATTCAGCATCTCTATTTCTTTCTTCGCTAGAGAAGAAAAATTGAAGTTCGTTTACGTCCTTAGAGCCTAAACATAAAACCTAAATTAGCGACTGAAACTAGTTTTATTCTCCTCTCTTTCTGATTTTCCTAGAAAACAAACAATTGCAGGGAATGGAACCAAAATCAACCTGAAACCTGATCTTAATCACGTCGAGAGGAGACGTGACCGTCCGAGACATACAACCAGCAATTGCGCCAGCCGTCGAATCGATCATCGCGCGCTTCAACTGTCCTGGCTCCTCCATCGGCGGAGAAACCATGCCTCCTCCTCCTCCTCAGGTTCCAACTACAACCTAAAACATCGATGGCGACCTCAATTACGTGAGGAACTAACAACAAACAGAGCTCAAACTCCACAATCCAATACACCGAACTGCAAAATCAATGCGATACACAAACAAACCGCGAACAAAAAAGAAAAAATCAACAGGAAGAGAGACGGAAAACAAGCGAAACCCGAAGAAAACGCGAAGAATCGAGGCGATCGAGTAGAAACAGATATAGAACAAAAAATCAAAGAAGTCTGTTCCGGACCGGGAAAGGTCAAATTCACAGATCATAGAAACGGCCAAACGACGTGGAAGAAATGATTAAATAAAGAAAAAGCAGGGCAGAGTTGAAGAGAGATACCTGAAAAAGGCGGTTGAAAAAGTGGAGAATGGAAGAGCCGCCATTGAATGCGCCAGAAGAGAGAGAGAAGTTGGGGAGTTTGATGGGATGTATGAAGGAATTGGGAAAGCAAAGAGAATGCTACAACTAGAACTAGATTGCGGGAGCGAAGCGACTGAGAGAGATTTTCATGGACTAAAATGCGAGTACGCCACGCCATTATTTTTTTCAAATTATTATTATTATTATTATTTATTTTTTAATATTAGATTCCAACTCACAGTCTTCATATTTAAATTACTAATTAGCATCCCTTACACGCACGGGAGGAGGAGCGTTTTTCTTTTTTTAAAAAAGAAAATAAATATAATTCTAAATAAAAATAACCAAATGTGATTCTTTCGCTCCTAAGAATTATGTAATTTTTAGTTCATTGTTATTGATAATTTGACAATCCTTTATTCTTTTATAATTTTTTTTCTATTTTTATCTATTAATTATTGAAGTCACGACTTTTTGATTGAAAATATATATGAATTGCTATATTTCATTTGGTTGTCCCTTAAGATAGCACAAAATTTGTTAAACAAAAAGTAATTTGAATTATTTGCTTTCTCCTTCATTTAACCTTAGGTCCCAGTTTCTAAGTCCTCTGATAAATGACTTACGCACATTGTTTTCTTTTGTGAATATATTTTTATTGTTACGTGATCGAATCCCAACGCAACCCTATTTTGGTTTTCAAATATTGTTTTTTTAATGTAAGTTTAATATAAAATAAATAATTTTAACTTTCATGTTTAGTTAAGTTTTATTTTTTATTTTTACAAACAGGTAGTTAAAGTTTATATGCTTGAACATATTTTTTTAAATAATAAAGAAACTGAAATTAAAAAATTATAATTGAAATTGAAAATTTTTATAATAAAGAAATTGAAATTGAAATATTTTTATAATATACCACACCACCGACGAGTGACATTTGAGATAAATGGTAAAAACAACATAAATATGAGACGCAAATTGCAGAATATATTTATATAAAGGAAATTTAAAAATTTTCTATAAAAACAATAGAGAATCACAACAAACGTAAGATTTTTTCTTTTATTTTTTATGGAGAAATTATATATGATTCTATTTTTTTTCCTTACTTTAAAAAATGAAGTCATATGAAAATAGAATCTAAATCGTGTAGCCTCGAACCCAGGATTCAAGTTGACCGAGAGATTAAAAAAAAAGGTTATATTTTTTAATACCAAAATATAAATGAGGATAAATAATTAAGGAATTTATAAATACTGTCATGCACACTAATTATAAATTCACACATTTAACCAATTATATAAATTATTGACAATGCGAGTGGGTGGTTCCCACGAAGATCGATGCGCTTGATATTAATTTCCATACCAACAATATTTATTTTATTTTCCAGAAAAAGCATAAATAATAAAATGCAATTGGTTTTCCATAAGTCAAATCACAAACTTTAAAAGTCTAGCGCTACTAAAATAAAAGGAAAGAAAAATGATATTAGCAAGTTTAATTTGATAGTTAATTTAACAAGTTAAAAAAAATCAATTTGATTATCATGATTTAGACTTGATTAATATAAGGATTCATAGAATATAGGGATAGTAATTTTTTATATTCATCGAATGGATGTGTATTATTAATTAATGTGTTTATCTCAATTAAGATAGAAATTTCCCCTTTTCTTATTTAGCTTTTCTTATTTAGCTTAATCTTAATACCGTGAATAAAACAATCAATCAAATAAAAAAAGATCTAGCTCTTTTGAGATTTAAATAAATTAAATTAAGCGTTATATTTAACATAATAACAATTTGTAACTATTAGAGATGGTTTAATCATTGGTCAATTATGAAACTTTTAAGAATCATTGAGACATAATTGAAGTTAATAGTAATTTAATTACATATTCATACCACAAATGAAATAGCATAAAATAGAGCTTATTTTTTAATCAACGGGAGTAAATATTCCAATCTTACATTTTTAATGACTAATCTAGAACTAATATATATACTTAATCAATTAGAATCAATTTGGCAACTTTATCGTTATTTTGCATCTCTCAAATTTAAGAAATGTTTCCAAAATGACGTATAAAGTTTAAAAACAATAAAATAATGTTTGCCGCCCTAATTGATCCGGTTGAAGAAACCATTACTAAATCATTGACTTATAAGTGCATAAAAAATATTAAAAATTAAATATGACATAAAAGATCTGAATGTTTAATTTAAAAATTATGTTTTTTTTAAATTAACTAATTTTCTTATAATTTTTTTTGGACATAAACAAACAAGAAATAAAAAATTGTTGTCAAATATATTTCATTTATTTTTCGATAAAAAGAAATAACAAAAACCATTACTAGTTGTATTTTTATAATTTATTAAAAAAAGTAAACAATAAATCAGAAAAGAAACGAGAAGGGGGAAAAAAAGATCGAACAAGAATTTCACCAAAGGGGACGTTAATGTAACATTTCATGGTTGAACATATATATATGTGATCAAAAACAAATATTTAAAATTCAAACATAAATCTCAAGCTTGTCCAAAAACATAATTAATATCACTGATTCCCGACAACAAGCACAAAATAAAAAACCCCATCTGCCAAGAAGAAATTAAAATGATCAGATTAAAATTAATTAATTTTCAGCCAATTCCTCCGAGCGTATTCTGACTATAAGCCATAGATGAAAAGTTTGAACGGTGCACGCCGCCGTTGCCGGAGGAACTGCCGCGGGAAGGCGGTTGTCCAAGATCCGCCGCACATTCTCCGAGCATGGCCCCGCACGCCAATCCACCGAGAATTCCCGCTCCCACTGCTAAAATCTTACCCATTCCCGATTTCGTTTCCTTCTTTGCGACCACTCCGGCCGCCGGTAGATACCCCGGCGGCGGCGGCGCCGGGTAACCATAATGTGGATAACCGTAAGGCTGGGGTGGCGGTGGAGCGTAGCCAGTGTTGTACGGCGGCGGCGGCGGAGGGGGGTATCCGGCGGCCGGGTGCGGAGGCGGAGGATAACCTTCCGGTGGCGGTCCAATTCCTCGGGTGGCGTAAGCGGCGGGGGGCTTTTGCTTTTCATCGCGAAACGACGCCGTTGCGCCAAGTACTCTATATTGAAAATTCAAAAGGCCGTGGGTTTTCCCCGAGGGCTTTCGCACGGGGTAGGTCACGTCTCTGTCGCCGAGAGTTCTGAAGCACCTAATAGTGAACACGAGAGTGGATGCCAGCTCATTGACACTGAACTTCATCGGGAAGTTCCAATTGGGGTTTATTCCGCCGGAGGAATCCGCATTGGTTTTGAATTTCTGGTCGGAGTTGCCGCCGCCGGCGAGTGAAACGACGACGTACGCGGCCATCTTAGAAACGAGGTTAATTTCGGGAAGGTCTTTGGCTGAAACGACGTTGATTTCTAGACTCCACGTGGACTCCATTTTTGGAGAGAGGAAGCGCTCTCTTTTGCTTTTGGCGAAAAATGAAGTGAAATTCGATGGCTTTAAATAGAAAACTCTCCAATTCAATGGCAAGGAAGAATATGATTCTCTTTGATTTGGTTAACCAAGTTGCCAAACTATATTCTAAATTTAATTTAATTTTGGGTTTGGCATTTAATTATAATTTTATCCACAGCTTTGATTATTCTATTTTAATTGATCTAAATTTAAAAATTATTTCAGTTATTTTTTTTAAGAAATTATATTGGAAGGTAAAAATTACTACAAATTGTATTTTGTTGACTCGTGAGTTTTTATTTATTTATTTATTTGATGTTTTGTGGAAAAAAGACATGAATAGAAAGTTCTATATAAAATTTTAATAAACGTTTTAATGCGATAAACTATTAACTTTCTACCGAAGTTATTAGATCAGGACAATGTAGAATAAGAATTTTGAACATAAGACCTATATAGATGTTACTAGTGTTTTAACTAATTCACTTACATTCAGGTTGACAAATATTTTATTTGCTTTAAGTTTAAGAAAATAATTATTTTAATTACTAAAGTTTTGAAATGTGCATTTTAGTCTCTAAATTTTATGAAAGAGTAATCATTTTAGTTTCAACTATTATTCTAGCAGTTAATATCTACTCAATTTAATATTTTCTTAGAATTTATTTTACTTTAATGATATGCGGGTGGAGATATCCATTTCGATATTTCAATCGAGGATATATGCATCAATTGAGTTATGTTCAGACTTCCTTAATCTATTTATGTAGTTTTAATATACGTCTCTCAAAACATTTTAGTGCACACATTCAGAATCACACTATGTATTTATTATAGACAATTAATTTATTGAAAAATTAACAACAATAAATTTAAATCGTTATATCTTTAAAATTTAAGTACGGAAATAGAAAATTTGTGAGAAATACGAAATACATTTTGATGTTTAAGGATTAAAATTACAATTTTTCAATATTAATTAAATTGGAAAGGAATAAGATGATGAAGACGTGTTTTGCTGTCCGCCACTTGATGAGAAGAAGACAAATAACCAACTTGAGATATAATTATTTTCCGTTTACTTTTATTATTATAAAATATACATTTAACTGACATTGTTTTTTCTTTTATTATTATTATTATTTTCTAGTTTAACAATTGTGAATGGAAAGTTGATCCATCCACCTTAGGATGATAATAGCTGTTTATCCCTTCTATATGCTCGAATTTGATTGTAAAATATTATTGTTTTGTTATGTTTTGCTGAAACATTATTTTTTAGATAAATTAAGATTATAATAGATTATTTTGGTGAGAAAACAAAACTTTCCTAAGTTAGATTTTGAGATGATCTACCAAGACATAGGACAAATATAATATATCACAAGTTAAAAAGGAATTAGATGTTTGATCCAGTGGAATAGATAATCCTATATCTGTGTGTTATTGGACATATTGTTGGAGGTGAATCCAAATCTTACACATGACGTGCAACGGTTGGATCGTCAGCAATACGTGCCACTTCTCTGCCCGTGTTGTTACCTCGGTCATGATTTCTCATGCCGAGTCGACCCTCATGATTCCTCATGACGAGCCGACCAAATACCTTACTTGGATCACTTCAGTTCAGCCTATTCTCCAACAGACTATGCGACATTACGCCGCACTTCACGACAACCTTAAAGAGCCGTTAAGACCTTGTCGGGGACTCTGCCTATAAATAGGACCATTATACTTCATTTCAAGATACACAATCAACCTGATTCTCTCTCTCGAGTTGACTTGGACAATTATTGACTTCAGCATCGGAGTTTCTACTCTGTTTTGCAGGTTTTCTGCACGGCATATGGAGCTCTCCGACTAGTTTGTCCTAGCCAATCTGAAGTTTGGAGACTTGGTTATTTTCTGATCAAACACATATGATCAATGTTGTATTGGAAATGACAAAACAAATTTGCTCGACTCTTGTCCTACCTATAGGAAGTTCCAAGAGTAGAAGAAGGGTTTATAATGAAAAGCCATTTAGTGGACTTGTAAAAGATGTTTGGGTGAGCTCACGACATCTCTTCATACGTACACCGCCATCGCTGTTCGTCCAGTTGGACCGACAGACAGATTTGAAATTCTTTGCAAAAATAATTTTTTTCATTATTCTGAGCTTCAATTCGGTTCCAATCCTATTATGACGAGTGTACATCTGAATAGGGTATTGCATTAACCTTGAGGACAATTAGTGTGGAGATACGATTTGAAGACAGTGATTATTCCACGACGCAACAATGATTTTTCCTCAAAATTCTATTTTTGTTCTACACGTTATTGGAACGAAAGAAGGAAATTAGAAGGGCATAGTTTATGACCATTCAAAAAATATATGGGTAAATTTTTAAATTTTTGTAGTTTTTCTTTTAATGTACCTCTAAATTTTAAGAATAAAAAGATTATAAGTATAAAAAGTTAGTACATAAAATTTTGCCCCTTCCATCATTTTTTCTGTTTTGTTTTGGGACTCTGTCCAGACATGTGTACTTGATTTTTTTTCATAAGAATTGGTTTGATTGTCAACGAGTTGAACTTGGCCATGGAATTAAATGGACAAAAGTAGTCCCATATTATGTGATGATGCAGGATTTTGGACGAGGTTAATTACATATCGTTAATAGACTCTAATTAATGTGGCTTCTACCGATACTTGCTAATAAAACTTTGCACCGATGTGGTGTTTGTACACTCGAAGTGAGTTGAGGTGTGTTCGACCAGGTGCCTTCCAAAGAAAAGGGGTTATGTTTGAATATATACTCTACTACGACATATTCAATTTTTGTTTTCAAACGATTTTGTCTTTTTAAATTTTTCGTTGAATTAATATTGTTATGCATGTCTTACCATGACTATTTACAAATAGGTTAATTTAGAAGAATTAATAAATTTTTTTAAGTATAACATATGGGGTGAGGGATGGAACTTACAACCGGAGATTATAGATATTACCACAACCAAAGTGAGCATAGCCAATTAACTAACTGTGCTCGTTTTTTGCAAAAAAATAAACACAATTACTACTTAACTATATTCGCTTTGAAAAAAAATTAACAAACTTATTTGTTTAAAAATACATTAAAAGGAGACAAAAAAATTAGAAAAAAATAATCGTATTATGATATTATATTTTATTTTAAAGGAAAAATATATTTTTTGAAAACAGTTTCAAAAACATTCTGAAGTTTTAGAACTCATCCAAGTGAAAAAAGCCTTAAGCCTACTGGTTTTCCGACCCCGATCAGTAGTCAACCAACAATCGATCAACTTGAGATATTATTTATGTAATATGCAAACAATTTTTTATATTTGGAGTACATTATAATTAGTATAATATTTCAGACTAATTAAGCAGAAAAGGAAAAACAAAAAACAAAAACTATATTTTAAAACGACTTGACCTATGAAATATATTTAAAGGAGGATTGGAAGGCATCAACACGTTTGTGACAGATTTTATGAATTAGTCAGTTCATTTCAATACATCCCGAACTATAAACTACTTATATTATTCCTGTAGTTTCAAAAAATTCATGGTAATAATACGAGGCTACTCCAACAATAATTGACACATATTTTAAGCAAGAAGTTAGGATTGGAATTTTCCACCCTATTTATTGTACTCTCAAAAGGAAACAATTTTTTTTGAAAAATTCGCAAGAAATTGCAACCAAAATTTGAAAACTTAAACATAGATTTTCGAAAAGCTATAATTTTTAGTTTGAAAAGTTAGACTAAAATTGAAATATATTAGAGAAAAAAATATAGGAGCTTTTGTCTTATTTAATTAAAAGAATTATCTTTCAATTACGTAGTAAAATGTCTCATTAAAAATTATCTGTTTCCAAATAGGGGAGGAGCTTAAATTTAATTAATTTAAAGTTAAGAATTCAAAAACTTATTTGACTTTTTGTTTTTATTTTAAAAATTAAATAGTCGTTAAATATAATATATTAACAATTTAGTAGAAAAAATCTCAGACATACTAAAAAAATCTCTATTTTGTTGTATAATACCACAAAATAAATGACTTAGTCCTTGATAAATATGTGATCTTATCTTTATCGCCAACAACAGCAACGAAACTTTGTTTGATTAATAAATTAATTAACACCAACTTGGCATTTCAAAATAATAAAAATAAATAAATAATTATAAGCATCAAGTTGGATTAGATTAATAATTTTAGGTTTAAATACTATTTTGGTCCTATACTTTTGAAGTTGGTTTAGTCCATTTACATTTAAAACATCAAATTTTTGTCACTCTAATTTTGAAGCGTCTATTTTAGTCTTTGTACTTTTAAAATGACCATTTTTTTCTCTTTTCATTTTTATTTTGATCTCATTCCTTTCCATCATAATTTCTAGAAATAATTACAAAACTAGTACAAAATACCTATGTATTTATATATATAGCATTAGGTTTAAAATTTTACAAAAATAGCATAAATTACAAACTTTACAATAGACCAACTAAAATTCATTTTTGTGACATTTTCGCAAAAAAACCAAAAGTAATGATATTTTTATAAACCCATATTTATTTTATGGCATTTAGTACTTTCCCTAATTTCTATTGTTTATAAAATTTGGTGTTCAATTTTTATAAATATGGACTAAATTAGTAATTTTTTAAAAAATACCACGACCAAAATGAACGTTTTAAAATATAAGGACTTAAAATGAATCAATGTGGATTAAGAATATACTTTGATCCTTTTATTTTAAGCTTTGGTTTATTTTACTCCTTATACTTCCAACTTTGGTTCATTTTAGTCCTCTATTTTAAACATGTTCATTTCTTGTTCTTATACTTTTTTAAAATGACCCTTTGGTCCTCCAATTTTATTTTTAATCTCATTTTATATATCACAATTTTAACATGACACTATACTCAATATATTTTGTCAAATGTAACCATGATATATTAAAGGAATATGGGAATTTATGTCATATGAAAATGGACGGCTTAAAAGGAGTAAAATAAATATTTTAAAAATAAGAGACTAAAGGTTGAAGGTACCAAGACAAACAATTTTAAAACTATAGTGATATGAACCAAAGTAGATAACTAAAATAATATTTTAATCCAATATTTAAATTACCTTGATTTTAATTTACATGGAAGAAGTCTTTGTCGAAAAAGGGGGATTGAATCGAGGGCTTCCTTTGCTTTTAAAAGGATTTAATAAAACGAACTCACACAAATTCACAACATTATTTTTACTCTTATCTTCTTCAAACCCAATGGCTCCAAAAACAGATTCCATCACTTTAGAAATCAACGTCGTTTCCGCCAGAGGCCTTACTGAAGCTGACCCCACCGTCAAGATGAATATATACGCCGTCGTTTCAATCACCGGCGCCGACCAAGAGGCCATCCACACCAACGTGGATAAAGAAGGCGGCGGAAACCCCACGTGGAACTTTCCGGTGAAGCTCGCCGTCGACGGATCAAAAAGAGATTATTTTAATATTACTCATCTGGATTTCGTTCTTAAATGCGAGGACGGGAAAGGAGATAGAGATGTGGGTGAAGTCCACGTGTCGATTGCGGAGCTTATTCTGATGTCCGCGGCCGGAGCCGGGAACTCCATGGGATACGTCGTCGTTTCGTATCCGGTCATAAGGCCTTCCGGGCAGACGGAGGGCGTGTTGAATTTCGAATATAAATTTGGCGCTTCTCTTTCTCCCACAATTCATACACCGGACACTGATTATGCCGCCAGGTAATACAGCGATTTTTTTTAAAAGTTATACTTGGTTTTCAAAATTTCTTTTATANTAAAAATATATATATAACAATAAAATTTTGGAAACTTGCTTAGATTTCAAAACTGATAACGAGATAAAAAAATTTGTAGTAATTGTAAACTTAATATTCAAAAACAAAAAAGAAAAAGATAAAATAGTTATTCAATGAGAACTAAATAATAAGAGGTTTAATTATATCATCATTTTGATCCCAGAAACAACTATTTATCATGGAGCGGATTTTATTAAAACTAAAATCATATTGGATTATTTGTTAAATTAGGAAAAAAAAACTAGAAACTACTTTATTTTTTATTTTTTAAATTTAACAAAATTTTGAAAACGTTTTTAAAATAATGTTGATAACAGGATAAAGGAATACTTAATTAGTAGGCTTAGTACTAAAAACAAAAAATAAAATAAAATAAATAAAATAAAATGGGTATCAAATAATTAAGAGATGAATAATAAAATACTCCTATTTTCATTTTGATATAAAATAGGCTATTTAAAATCCTACAAAACTCTGTAAATTAGGTTAAACATCAGGTTCTTTTTAGTGAAATAATTAGATTTAGTCTCTAACCATTTTTGTCTTATAACTTTTTAATTTATAATGATATGATTTAGTCCGGAACAATTTAGTTCATGTGGTATAATAAGCTTATAAATATTTAGTAGGTGGAAAAATTCATAATGTGTGAAATATTGATTCTTATTGTATAATAAGATTTAATTTAATCCTTTATAGTGTCAATAAACATATTTCGATGTCTTAAATACATTGACAATATTTTACATAATAGAGAGTAAATCATTCATCACACATATTGAATTAGAAAAAATTGAACCATTTCGAGAAATTCTATTAAACTTTTAACAAAATTTTATATGATAGAGACTGGACTATTTTTTTTCGTAACATTGAAATTAATAGAAAATTCTTAAATTCTAATTGCAAAATTCATAAAAGCAATCAATTATAATCAAACAATTTTAACTATCTTTAATTAATTAATTTTAAAAAAAAAACTAAATCAGTTACCGAATATTTTCTTTCTTTCCACGTCACTAGGAGCCTTGGATATCCACCACAGGGATATTATTATCCTCCCCAGCCGCCGGCGGCAGGACACGGTGGCTATGGCTACCCACCACCAGCACAGCCGTACGGTCCGTATCCACCGCCGCTGCAGCCTCACTACATTCCGCCGCCGGCGTACCCCCTTTACAACGTCGGACCACCAGGAGCGCCGCCGTACGGATATCCGCCACATCAAAGTCACGTGCACGCACGTGCACCTCTAGCCGGGTCGTCTGATCAGCAACGGTCGGCGCACCAAAGTAAGAAGAAAAATTCAGCATGGAAAGCTGGAGCGAAGATGCTGGGGGTGGCCGGCGCTCTAGCACTCGGAGTTGTCTCAGGCGGATCGGCGCCGTCGTTTGAGTCTCTGTCAGCGCCGGCACCGGTGCCAGATCTCTCCGCCCTCACATCTGGATTTCAAATTCCCGATCCGGCCGCCGCCTTCGCGCCTCCGGATTTCTCGAACTTCTGTCCGCTTCCAGATCCTTCTGCTTTATTGGATGCCACATTCGTTGATTACAGTTCGCTTGTGTAACTAAATTTTAACTACTACGCTTCCGTTAATCGTCGTCGTTTTTTTTCTTTTTTTAATAAAACTTGTTTGGTTGACTTTGTCATTTATTAATATCGTGAACTTTGTGTTTGACATATTATTGTGGGTTGAAGAGTGAGTTTGACTTTTTACCTAAATTAATTTAGTTTTGATTATCAAAAGGGTGCATGTTAATTACAGTTGTGCTGTGTTTACGTTGACATTTAAAAATTAAGTTTAAATATTCTCAGTTTCGCTTATTAATTTTCTTTAAAGTGGTGCAATTGCATGATTTGAACTGCATATATAACACTCTTTGGAGAGGTTACTCTCGTACCAACACGAACCTTGCTCGAAAATAATTGACACATATTCTTCTTGAGATTGGAAGTTGAAACCCCATACTTTCATGGGAGAGGTAATATTGATATCTTAAACCATTAAAACTATTTTCAGATTAATAAAAAAATATATGATAACTAATTACAAACTCAAAGTAAAAATAATGACACCCATTTAAAATTAGCTTATAATAAAACTTTATTTTAAAAATGAATAAACCACCACTCAATTAAAAAGTTTTAAGCAGATGGATTAAGTAAGTTTAATTCATTTATCTCAACTTTACCTGACATATTTTCATTAATCTATTTCTATTTCTACTTTGATTTAATAAAAAATGTGAAGTTCACTAAAATTTTAAGAGACCAAAAATATATGATATTAAAAAGTTAGGACCAATTAATTAAGGATATATTAAGTATTAACTAATATGACTTCATAAGTGCTATGCACAAGTTGACCATTAATAATAATTTCTCTCTAGGTTTTTTTAGTACAATTTCTCTCTCTAATTAGAATCGTACGATTAATAAAATAATTTATTTTAGTGGAACAAAATGTAAGGGATTCTAGTAGAACAAAGTACGGAAATTTGTACCTCCAAGACTAAATTAAATTGATGAAACATTGACTTTCCAAATTACATCGAAACACAAATATAAAAAATCACATTAAAATTCAATTCAACCATTCACACAAAGACATAAACACATGACCAAACAAACGAACACAAAATACAAAATGAAAAACGTAACCATCTTTCGAAGAAGATATTAAAATTAATCAATAAACACACCATTAATTTTATGTCACGTGCTTAGCCAATGGATCCGAGAACATCCATACTTTCGGACATAGATTGTATACTTGAATCGTAAAATTCAGTTAAGCCGCCGGAGGGATCGGAAAATGAATCCAACGACGACGGCGCCGCCGCCCCAATATCCGGCGCCAAATCTCCGAGCAAAAGCCCTCCCACAACTCCCCCCAGCAATCCCGCCCCCAATCCAAGCATTTTACTCATTCCCG